TACAGGCTCTGAAGTCACCTTGCCTAGGTGGGACACAACTTCCCCACATAATTAGCTTGGGCAAATACGTTGTGCCTCATTTTCTCACCTGTAAAACAAGACCGTCAATGGTAACTACCTCTAAGGGTTGTAGCAACTAATCATCCCTGCCCCCTCTGTGATCTATAGAAAGTTTTGATCACGCACTCATCAGTAAAAATGAAGTGTGTGCCCACCCCCAATGTCCATAAGCCTATGTGTTACGTTAATTTACCCGAGTACCAACATGCATTGTGTTTTATAAAAGGAAATGGAGATTTTTAAAGTATGAGGAAAAACGGAATTAGTGGTTCTGATCATTTTCTTCCTAACGGGGGCCCTTCTATACCCCACTTTGGAGACGACTGCTTTGACTCAGCTCCTCCCAGAGGGAGTTAGCCATGTGACCAGCCCAGGGACCAAAGGGCCACCGTGCTGAAGGCAAGCAGTATGTCAGAAGAGCTGGGGCTTGCGAAGGGCACCCACAGCAAACAACTGGAACAGACTGGCGTCCAGCAGCCGTTTCGAACGCACGGAGCTGCAGGCGGTGGTGGCGGGAGCACAGCCCCCATGTGATGTAAAGAGAACCCTACCACTGGAGTGCTCTCTTCAAGGGCCAGGCTTGGTGCTAAGTGTGTCACGTGCTTGATTTTCTTACCACCCCTTTAGGAAATCAGGGCTGTCGGCCTGTGCCACAAAGCCAGCAGAGCCAGGGACCAACACCCAAGTTGCACAGGAAACCCTAGAGACCGCTGCTGCTGTTCAGTGATGCGTGGAAGACAGCTTCTAGGACCACCCCACCCACTCGACTGCGGGCAATATCGGCTCATCCGAGGGCCACAGCACAGAACAGGTGGCTCTGGGCTCTCGAGGGGTGGCGAGTGTGTTTTAAAGGAAAACAAGCCCGATTTTCCAGTATTTGTATGTTACGCCCAGTTAAATTCAGAGTAGACAGATTTGTGGAAATCGCTGGTGAAGCCTGTACTTAAAAGTTTTGAACAACGACTGGAGACCAGACAGAATTCTGTGCCGTGGAAATTAAATGCTCTGATGTAAGATGATGCCTCCTACCAGGTGTCACTTGCAATTTCATGGGACACACAAACCAACAAACATGCAAAACCAACACCATCGAAGGGAGTGCAGACATGGACCAGCTAAGGAGTCCACCCATTCTACACTAAAGGGCAACTGGACCTTACGAGAATCACTATATTAGCATCTTACGTGTATGATCATGCTTGCATATTTTGTTAAATCATAATCATTCTATACCATGAACTCAATCATCTTCAATCAGACTTTGTGTTGTCTCTGAAGTTCAGAGTGAAGAGAACCCCTTCAAGCATTTCTTCAGGACGGTTATGAGAACTCTGCAGTTAGAACTCTGTCAGTTGCAGTTCAAATCCAGCAAAGCAATCACATGTAGCGGGGGTCCTCACACCTGGACGTGCACGAGAATCACTCGGAGAGCTTGCTAACTTGCAGAATGCCCAGCCTCTCTCCACAGGGTCTGAATCAGTAGACGAGGTGACATTCAGGAGTGTGGATGTGTAGTGAGTTATTTTTTATGCCAGTGCCTTTTGGGCCACTTTCAAAGAAACACTAGTTTTCCGAGCGATGCGTTCGCTAAGATGATGGTTCTTACAAAAACAGCGAGGAAACCAGCAAGGCAGAAGCTTATTTGGTTACTTCTCATTCTACACAGGTAGCTCTTCCCAAGCCATTCTCTGTCTAAATTGAATAAGCCCACCTTTAAACCAAGGGTGAAGAAAATGGACTATAAAATACTGTGAGTTTAGGAAAAAAGTATTGCAGTTCCTCAAAGAGTTAAAAATAGAATTACCATATGGTCTCGCAATGCCTAACAAGAACTGAAAGCAGACTCTTGAAGAGAAATCTGCCCACCCGTGCTTATGGCAGCATTATCCACAATAACCAAGAGGTGGGACTAACCCACATAGCCATCAACGGATGAAGGAGTAAATGAAACACGATGCAGACATAAATGGAATATTATTCAGCACTAAAAAAGAATGGGATTTCGATACACTACAACATGGATGAACCTTGAGGACATTATGCTAAGTGAAATAAGCCAGTCACAAAAGGACATATTTTATGATCCCACTTACATGAGGTCCTTGAATAGTCAAATTCATAGAAACAGAAAATAGAATGGTGGTTGCCAGGGACTTGTGGGTGGGGGGGATGGGAGTTCGTGTTTGTTAAATGGGTGCAGAGTTTCAGTTGGGGCTGATGAAAAGTTCTGGAGATGGTTGGTGGTGACGGTAACACAACGATGTGAATGTATTATCACTGAATTGTATACTCAAGAAAGGGTAAAAAAGTAAATTTTGTGTTCTGTATATATGACCACGATAAAATTTTAAAACAATAACAAAATACTGTGAGCATAAAGTGAGCGTAGGGAGACAGCTGGACTCTCCTCCTATCTGATGAACAAGCATCTGTCCCCTGTACAGTCAACCAGAAGCAGGAAGGAGGTGGAAAATTGAGGAACCTTCCCTTCAAGGTTTTGGTTCTAGGAAACAAGTCACTTAACATTTACCCTAATTTGAAATTGTAATATTGACTCTTGGGACCTGATGGGGGTTTCTAGCTTCCTTCCTGAAAGGCTCTCATGTGTCTCTTCTGCCTTCTCTAACCACTCATTGTTTCTTATCTCTTGCGTTTCTTACATACGATGTCCCATCTGCTTGATACTATTCTCTCCTCTCACCTGTCAAAGTCCTACTCAAGCCATTTGTTGGTTTATTTGACAAACATATGGGAGCCAGTCTTTGAGATCCAAACTCCTCAGTCTTGCATCTTTCTGCATTTCCTCAGGCACAGAGAGGCACTTGGTCACAGTGGCCCTCTTCAAACACCTAATAAGGTAATAACCCATCCCTGGCTACGAGGCAAGCACTTGTGTAAGAGTCAAAGCCTGTATCTTCAGTTCCTTCAATGTCTGGCAGATACAGGCAGCCAGTAAATAACTAAATGAAGAGCATAAAGGTTGATTTATCTGCCTAAGGGTATTCTGGAAGGAAAAAGAAAGGGTAATAAACCAAATTTTGAATGAATTACTTTGTGGAATTAGACAGGTAGGGGTTCAAAGAACAGTGGGTGTTCTGCCCCAAATTTGGACTCTCCATCCATCTAATAATCACCTTCCTGAGGCTCATGCTATTTCACTGAAGCATCTGTGAGGACAGCCCACTGTGTCTTCATTGGGGTAATCCTTAATTCTTACTGGACCTTTGACAACCAAACACTTCTATATGGAGAATGAACACTTGACTCTTTGCACCATACTGCCTAGGGAGCTCTTTGCCTGATAATAAAGATACTATGGTAACTAACAAGCATTTGACTGTATATTGTTCCACGTTTCTCTTCCAATGATTTTCTGTTTGCTCTGAATCTAAGCCAGGTTAACAATCTAAATTCTTTCAGGAAACAGGCACGTCCTTTCATATGATTTGGAGGGATGGAGCTTGTGGCCAACTGATGAGTACAAAAAGCGATCAAATTCAATAAAAAATTAATATGCAAACATCAATAGTTTTTGACATCAATCTTTTTACATATATAAATGACCAGTTAAGAGATAGATAAATAACAATAATAATAAAATAATAACAATAATAAAATATGTACTAAAAAAACTTTATATGAGCTCGTTGAAGAAAACACTACCAAAGGAGTAAAGACATAGAGCTCAAAGAAACGTTTATTAGGTCTTAAAGAGTAAAATTTAACATCATAAGTTGTAAATTCTAAGTTAATCTACAAGTTTAATGCTATCTTCCAAAAAACAACCTGGATTTTTTTGAACCAGATAAACTCATTCTAAAATTTACAAGGGAAAAAAAGGCAAAAATCAGAAATTTTTTGAAAAAGTAATGATGAGAACTAACCTGAGCAGAACTAACATATTATAAAAGCTGAAATAATTGGTACCAGTGTGGGAATGGACAGGAGGTCAATAAAACAAAGTCTATCAGTGGACACAAAGGCACAAATTTATTATAGGATAGAAGTGGGGGGGAGGGGAAGTGGTTTATTCAACAAACATTGTTGGGATAATGGGGTTAACGAACAGGGGAAAAAATTGGGTTCACATGTCACATCTTTTACCAAAATAAATTCCAAACAGATCAGAGATTAAAACCATGAAGAAGCCCTGAAAATACTAGAAGAAAACAAGAGAAGATATTTCTATAAGCCAAGAATAAAAATGATCTTACTTCGAGGGGCAGAAATTTCAGAAGCCGTAAGAGAAAGTTCTGCAATTTTGACTATGTTTTCATTTATAATTTTTGCATAACAAAAATCATCATAAGCAAAGTAAAATAGCAAGTTTCTATCAAAACTATGAATAGATGTATTTTCTGACTCAACAATTCTACTTTCAGTAATTTACCTGATATAAATATATATGTGCAAAATGACTTATACAAGTTATTCATTGTAGTAGTACTGATAACAGCAAAAGCTGGAGACATCTTGTGTCGACATCTTGTGTCCATCAGTATAATGGAACATTATGAAGCTGCAAAACGATATGAGGAAGCTCTTTCTGTACAGCTATAAAAGGATCTCCAAGATGTATTGTTTAATGTAAGAGAAGATGTATAACTGTATAGGTTTGTGAAAGCATTCAGATTTTGTTAGGACCAGAGTCTCAAGGTCTGGGCGGTTCTCACTAATCTTAATGCTATTCTTGTTAAATGTTCAAATGTAGCACACCATCCTGCAGATGCCGCTATAACTGGGGGCATCTAAGCACAACCAGAGAAGTTTAGCAGACTGAAAAGAAGAAATCGACATGTAACTAACCAAGCAGAGTATATAAGAAATGGCTAAGCCTCCCTTAGAAGAGACAAGAGCTCTGCATGTGAACCCGCCTCCTTTACTTGCTGCAAGTAAATAAAACTACCTATCAACAACCACATCTTTTTTTTCCAGGAAGAATCAGATAGGAGCAACCAGGGTGTTATAAACCCTGATCAAGCAGAAATGATCATTATGAATCATGGGAATTCCAATCATCATGTTCTAATCTGCCCTCCAAAGGAGGAACAGGTTAGGATTATCTCACCTGATGATACGTCTCTTGAATAGAACACTCTAAGTGAACCCCCTGAGTTTGGTAACAATTTCACATTAATTTAGATCAGTTGGAGATTTTATCTGACCAATATTCTAACGCTTGTAAGGAATTACATAGCTTTCTGTCTGTCTTAGTCGGTTCAGGTTGCTATAATAGAAGTGCCATAGACTGGGTGGCTTAAATAAAAAACATTGATTTCTCACAGTTCTGGAAGCTGGGAAGTCCAAAACCAAAGCACTTTCCTGGGTCTTCCTGTTTCCTCACATGACAGAAGGGTTGAGGGACCTCAGTAGGGTTGCTTTTGCAGGGGCACTAATCCCATTCATGAGGGACACACCCCCTGACCTAATCACCTCCCCAAAGCCCCACCTCCTAATACCATCACATTTCAGGTTAGGATTTCAACATACAAATTTTGGGGGAAACAAACATTCAGTCTACAGCACTCCCCAAAGAAGACAGTTTTTAATCATTAAAACAACAACAAACAACACATGAAATTCAGCTTTGACGTTTTTAAAAATAAAGATTTCCAAGGAATCTTGAGTTTGTCTGATATAAGCACCAGAGGGGAGTGGTAGAGCATTTTCTGTCCTGGAAAAGTGCCTTTTATACCAACCTAGTATAAGTTTAGCCTGTATGTGTTTGCCTCGCATTTTATCCATATGAATAAGCCCTGAGAATGTAGAAATCCACAGTATGCTCAATTGTTAAAAGATGTGGGGGGCAATAATTTGTATGTATAGGTATTTGCCTGTACATGAATAGACTACTCTATTCCTTCTCTAATAAATGATCACAAACTTAGTGGCTTAAAACTACAGAAATGTATTCTCTTTCAGCTCTGGAGGCCAGATGTCCAATATGAGTTTCACTGGGCTGAAGCCAAGGTGTCTGCAGGGCCTTGCTCCCTTTGTAAGCTCTAGGGGCCCTAGAATGGAGTTTTCTTGCCTTTTCCAGCTTCTAGATCTGCATTCCTTGGCTCATGGCTCCTTCTCTATAATTAAAGCCAGCAGCATAACATCTTCAGGTCTCTTCCTCCTTCAGGGGTCAAATAGTTTCCTGTGAGCAAATCTCCCGCTGCCTGTCTTATAAAGACACGTGTGATTGCATTTCGGGCCCACCTGGATAACCCAAGCTACTCTCATCTCAAAAGCAAATGAACTTGCTGAACATCACATAGTTAATAACTGAAGAAGCTGGATTTAGGCCCAGACAGACATTGCATTGTACGATTAAATTAAAATTCTATTATTATTTTTTTTTTACAAAGTGTTCGTTGGGATTTACCAAATGGATTTCACAAGTCACTAACGGGCCACACCTTATTTAATAAACACAACCTTGAAATCAAATTCCACAAGAGCAGAGTTTCTCTATTTTGCTCACCACTGGATACTTAGTACCCTCACTTTACCAGTACGAAGAGGCGCTCAATAAACAGCTGATTAAAGAGCCTGGTACAATCTTAAAGCTGGAGGAAACCTGAGAAATTACTGATAACAGAGCATTTCAAATGGGATTAACTAGCACTTCTTATATGAGTCACATTATGTCATTTACCCAGTGGTCTGTATCAAGGGTGACAAACTTTTTTTTTTAACATTTCCTCATTCATTTATTTATTCATTAATTCAAGAATGAGCACATAGAAGCCTCAAGTTGAAATAATTAGATAAAATGAAAACACAAGTTGCACAAGAATCTGTAAGGTTAGCACAATGCTGTAAATAATATTCAATATATAGTAAATCTGGAGTAAGGTACACCAAATTGTTTACTTGTTCTGGTGAAGGAAATGGAGAAAAATTTTATATTTTATATTTCTGTATTATATGATTTTTTAAAAAAATTTTACAATCATAAAAGCGCAATGGATATTTTTAAAACCCTTTCTATCCTTTCCTTACCTGCAATATATAACAGCCCTAGACTGACTTCTATAGCCTTTCCTTAGTGCAATTCACAACCAGCGCCACGAGTGGATCTTTTCTGGGCCACCAGCGCACGCAGCGCCAGGCTTCAAACTCGGGACCCTCACACCTCAAGGACCAGTTGGGCAGCGACCCACACGCGCCCGCCGCGCCTCACGCATGCGCCCTACCCAGCCCGGCCCCGCGCGCTGAGCCCAGGTCTCCAGCTCTGCGCGCCTTAATCCTTCGGGCAATTTGCCTTTCCCACACTCGCAATTCGACGGAGCCTGGGGGCGGAAGTGAGTGGGCGGGGGCCGCCGCGCGCCCCGCCCCGGAAGTGGGCGGGCATAGCGGGACTCAGCTATCTACCCGCCGCCTCCCAGTCGGGTTGCGGCGGAGGCCGGTCCTGGCTTTGTAACTCGCTCAAGATGGCGGCGCAGCCACCCAGCGGGATCCGCCTCAGCGCGGTGAGCAGCCGTGAGGGGTGGAGCGGGCCGTGTCCCAGGAGGGCGGGCAGGCGGGCTGGCGAGGGGGGGCCGGCAGTAGGCGGTGGCGACTTGTCGGCCGGCGGCTGGGGCCACGGTGGGGTCGGCGGAGGGGGCAGCGATCTCGCTCCGGTCGGTGGAGCGACTCGGCGGCGGGCAGGGCCGGGCCGGGCCGCGCCGTTCGGGCTGCGTTCCGTTTCTTCCGCGATAGGTTTCTGTTTTGCCCCTGCAGCCTCAGGGTGGGCCGGGCCGCGGCCCCTCCTCCTGGCTCCCTTTTGGCTGTCTCGCAGCTGTCGTCCGAGGGCGAGGCCTCGGCGGCCGACTCACCATCCTTTCGGACCGCAGGGCCCCTGACCCTTCCCAGCCCGTGGGCCCACGGGGCGCTCCGGAGGGGGAGGGAGCGGCAGTCTGCGGCCAGAATTGCCCGCGGCCTTGACCTCCCGGCAGCAGGACGGGGCGAAGCGAGCCCGGACGCATCTTCTTGATTCATTTAAATTCCTGCCGCTTCCTTCTACTTAAGCCCTTGGGCCCGAATCACTATGTCACCGACTTATGTTTGTTTCCCCTCTAGTCCCTTCGTCGTGTCTCTTGGGTTCTTGGAAATCCTTCAGCATTTCTTAAATCTACGAGTCTTAAATCGTAGGGAGCTGTCACACAGTATGAGTTAAAATTGCACATCTTAAAATGTGGGCGTGGCTTTCCTATCTGGTTATCTTAAAAAAAGTCAGTGGAGTTAGCTATGAAAAAATGTACTTCCCCTCGAAGATGTAGACTCTTGCAAAAGAATGGCTACTGCAGTATCTTTGAATTTAACATTCGAATGGTAATACCGTTACTTTTGAAATGATGCATTGCCCTGCGACTTTCATTCATTTAGCCAGTTTCTTACTAACACCTGGTAGGACATTTTTCCTGATCAGTGCGAAATGGTCTCTGGGTTTACTTTGCATTTCCTTGACTGCTTGTGAAGTTGAAAGTTTTTCACATTCACTCTTTGGTTTTTCGGTGTTGGTAAAAAAAAAAAAAAGTGACTATTCATATCCTTTGCCCATTTTTCTGTTTTTATTTTGGTGGGAATCTTCATTGATTTTTAAGCGTTCTTTACGTATTCTTTAGTTACATACCTGGTTTATTGAATGAAGTAGCATTTAGTCGTTTGACTATAGAGAGCAACTTTGTTGTTTCTTACTACTGTCGTTAAACATTTGCTAGTTCTTCCCCATACCCGGGTGAATCTGGGCAGCCTTTAATGCTTGCCAGTTAGCCTTAGGTATTGTAAAATCTGACCTCATCTAGTTTAAACTCTTATTCAGTTATTTGTCCTGCCCCACTCCCACATTCTGTCCCAGAAACCTGTGGTGGAGAAAGGAGTGAGCCGTTTCTTTCCTGGTGTCTGCACTTGGATTCTCTTCTCGTCCCCGCCCATGTTTCTGTTTCAGTTTCTGTTTCCTCAGATGAGAAAGGGAGCAAAGACAGAATTCAAAACAGTTTTTAAGAGACTGGCATTGTCAGTTGGCCTTCTGGGTGAAGCAGCTGTCCATGTGCTACATCTTTTGTGGGTAACATGGGCTGTTTGGAACCTCATTGACCAAAATCTCCCATCTGCAGCTTCTGGACTGTATCACCACCGATCTCTTTGGTTTAGGACAGAAATTGGCAAAGTCAGCTCATGGGCCAAATCCAGCCTGCCACCTGTTTTTTGGGTTTTTTTTTTTGGTGTAGCCCATGAGCTAAGAATTATTCATAAATGGTTAGAAGAAATTAAAGAATATGTAACATACAAAAATTATGTGAAATAGACATTTTAGTTTCCATACATAAGTTTCATTGGACTATAGCCATGCTCAGTCAGTTGCATATTGCTTTCAAATGCTTGCACTAAGAAAAGGTCTAGGAATTAATGAGCTCAGGGCATTTGTCAAAAGTCTAAAACCTAAGGCACAATGGGTAAGCCATAATGTATGCAAATTTTAAAAAATCACTTAGTTGGGAGATCTGGGAATGGAATGAGGAGTGACAAAAACTTATTTAAACATTTGCTTTTTGCCTCCATACTTCTAAGTAAAATGCTGGTGCCATTTTGTTTTCTAGAAATCCTGCTGTGGATTTAGTTGACACATGAACACTCTTTTCGCCCTCTCCCATCCTTCTAATGCTTCTCTCTTTTTTGTTGTTTTGAATAACTATGATTTATTACTCAGCATTATTCACAAATGAGCCAGAGCTATGATTGTGTATGTGTATGTGGTTTTTTTTTGTTTTTTTTTTTGCTGTACAGCTTTTTGCTTTCCTTGAGGTTATTGTATTTTGTTTGCTTGTTTGCTTAGTTTTTCTCTGTACTGATTGATCACTATTTAATCCAAACTTTCAGAGAACTGGAAAATCTTTTCCAGATGTGTTCAAGCACACACACCCAATATTTGTCAGTTTTATTTAGTTGTGATTTGGGAACTTCACTTTATCATTTTTTCTGGAAATCTCCTTCCTCTTTTTGTTGTGTCTCCATCCCACGTGTTCCTATTTTGAGGTTTTCTCCCTTGGCAAGCACAGTAGCTTAGTGACTGAGAGCACGGGCTCAGGAGCTCACCTTCCTGGGTTCAGATCCTGACTCACCACTGGATATGTGACCTTAGGCAACTTACTTAACCTCTCTCTGCCTGAGAGCCCAGTCTGAGTATGGGGAAAATAATCTTACCCACCTCAAAGGGTTGGTTGTTTTAAAAATCAAACAGGTGGTACATATATACAGTGGAATATTACTCAGCCATAAGAAGAGATGAAAACTGCCATTGGTGACAGTGTGGATGGACCTTGAGATAATCACGCTAAGCAAAATAAGCCAGACAGAAAAAGTTGAAAATCACATGATATCGCTTACATGTGGAATATAAACCTAAAAACAACAAACAAACAGGACAAACAGAGACTCATGGACATGGACAGTAGACTAGCGGTTACCAGAGGGTGGGGAGAGAGGGGAGGTAGACGGGGTAAAGCGGGTCAAATATGTGGTGACAGAAAGAAATCTAACTATGGGCGGTGAACACACAATGCAATATATATATAAGGCATGTGCCTTACTGATAAATTGTACACCTGAAACTTAGTGAATTTCATTAACCAATGTCACCATAATAAAAAAAATTAAACCAGCAAATACATATAAAGGGCATGTGTATGCTGTAAGCACAGTAAGTATTTGCTATTTTTGTTTCTGATGGTGGTGGTGGAGCCCATCCATCCTTCTAAAAGCAGGCGTAACTTCCTAAGAACAAGTACATGGGAAGAAAATTTTTTCATATCATTTATTGGAAATATGTTTTTGGTACCATTGCTCACTCTTGATGTATGGTTTGGCTGGGTTTGTAGTTCTAGATTAGAAATGATTTCTCTCAAAATTCTAAAGACGTGTTTTATTGTTAACAGAGTCCTCTGCATTGTGATGGGCACTTCGGCTAGAAACTTGAGTCCTTAATATCTGGGACATTTTCTCATCTGTTTAACACATTTCTTTCCTCTATTTTACAGTTCTTTTTTTGTGTCTCGTATTCCTTCTCATTGTTTTCTCTTTCCTTTCTGGGAGACTTCTTCCATTTGATCTCCTACCTTTTTCTTACCACACATTTAATATAAACACTGTCTTATTCTGATTGTCTTTAAAATCTCTCTGACAAAATATTTGTTCTTATCACTGGGCATATTAGTCATAGTTTTTCTTTTACTCTGCACTGCTTCTATTTTCTTTCTTTTTTTTAAATATGTGGTGTTTTTAATTTCTAATTTTACACATTCTTGACTGCCTGGAGATGATTAGCCTTCTGCTTGCATTTCCAAGTGAGACACTAAAAGCTGACTGGAAAATTTTATATCTTGTTAGAGCTAGTCCTTTGGTGGATCACTCAGTGTTGGGTAATCAAATAGGAAGGAGCCCACTATTTCATTGGGGGCACCCTATGTCAGTATCTGTAGACATTAAAGAATAGAAGTATTAGACCATAAAATAAGTATGTTTAAAATAACAAAAAAATTGTTTTAAGTTTTAAAAGTGAGAATAACAAAAATAAGATGCTATCCAGAAAGCACAATTGTAAAAGAACCAAATAGAACTTTTAGAAATCATTCCATTTTCCAGAGAGGAACTCTACATCTGGTCCCCAGCTCCTGGCTGCTCGCTCTTCTGGAAGCTCAGCAGGAGGAGAGAGAAAAGAGCATCACACTATTCAGTTTGCTGACTATCTTTTTACAGTAAAATACGCATAGCATAAAACTTACCATCTTAACTGTTTCTAAGTTTACGGTTCAGTAGTGTTAAGTACATTCACATTGTTGTGCAGCCAATGTTCAAAATTCTTCATCTTGCAAAACTAAAACTACCCATCAAAAAATAACTCTCTGTTCCCTTTTCCCGATATAAATGGAATCACAGTATTTGTCTTTTTGTGACTGGCTTATTCCACTTAGCATAATGTTGTCAGGGTTCATCCATGTTTTAGCATGTGTCAGAATTTCCTTTTTAAAGGCTGAATAGTATTCCGTTGTATAAATATACCACATTTTGTTCTTTCATCGATGAATGGTTGGTTTGCTTACACCTTTCCACTATTGCGAGTAAAGCTGCTAGGAACATACAAATATCTCCTCAAGACCCTGCTTTCTGTACTTTTCAGTATATACTCAGAAGTAGAATTGCTGGATTATATATAGTAATTCTGTATTTAACTTTTTGAGGAACTCCCAGAAGCTGCACCATACTATGGTTGCCTAAGAGTGCACAGAAGTTCCTTTTCTCCACATTCTCCCCAACCGTGCTATTTTCTGGTACTGTTGTGTTTGTGAAGTGGATTCATTTATTTTTTTAGTTTTTGATAAGAGCCATTCTGATGAGTATGAGGTGATACCTCATTGTGGTTTCGATTTGCATTTCCCTAATGATTAATGATGTGAGCATCTTTTCATGTGCTTAGTGGTCATTTACACACCATCTGGAGAAGTAGCTGCTCCTTTGTCCGTTTTTTAAATTGAGTTTTTAGTTTTTTTATTGTTGAGTAGTAGTTCTTTATATATTCTGATTTAAACCTCTTATTAGATACTTGATATGCAGATGTTTTCTCCTATTCTGTAGGTTGCTTTTCATTGTTGATTTTGTCCTTCGATGTACGGAAGTTTTTAATTTTGATACAGTCCAATTTATTTTTTTCACTTGTTTCCTGTTCTTTTGGTGTTAATTATTGCCAAATCCAGTGTCATGAAACTTTCCCCTATGCTTTCTTCTGAGTTTTGAGTTTCAGCTCTTAAGTTTAGGTCTTTCATTCATTGAGTTAATTTTGGTATATGGTGTAAGGTAAAGGTACAGCTTGATTCTTTTGCATATGGATATCAAGCTTTCCCAGCTCTCTTTGTTGAAAAAGATTTGTCTTTTCCCCTATCGAATGGTCATTACTCCCTTTTGGGAAATAATTCGACCATATACGAGAGGGTTTATTTCTGGGCTGTTTGCTGACTGGCTCTTTACCCATCTGTTTTCAGTTGTGGCTGAGCCTGCTGTCATCGGTTTCTTCAGAGGACACACCTCCAGTCTTACGGGGGTTGCCTTAGGGTAGTCGCAGGCAGGGTTGCTCAGGGTGAAAGAAGGATCTCATGGAATGTCAATTACTTTTAAAAACTTTCTACCTGTCTTGTTTTCATACAGTCTCTAGTACCTTTCATTCCAAGGTATCAAAGTCTAATTCCTAAGCCCTTCTGGGTTTGGTCGAGGTTCCTGGCCAGCTTCTTGTTGGGTTTCCCATCTCCTGCAGACTTCAGATTGAGCTCTTTCCAGGCTATTCAGTTATCGCTAGTCTCTGTTTTCCGGTTTCCAAACTACTGACTTTAGTTTACTATTATTCATCGATTCTTTTTGTTCTTCTGGGTTTATGCCTTTTTCCCCGCCACTGTAGAGTGAGTGGATTCAGGACAAAGCAGGCTTCCATGTTTAAAAAGTTTTATATTTAAAATTTGTGACTTGATTCTTAAATCTGTGTGATCTACCTAGCATCTCATTTGTGTATGTGAACTTTTTGGACATTATTTTTAAATGTCTAGTTATTTAAAGGGATACCTATTTTATAGGGTGATATTTCTTTTACCTAATGTTATTTTGGGGATGGCGTGTCTAATACTGCTGCATCTTGTCTGCTAACATTTTCTCCTGGTGGATTTTTTCCTTAAATGTTATTTTAGATGGTTTACTCATATATTCATTCCCCAAATAATGACCCAGGAGAATCCTACACTGTCTGGTTGAGGCTGTATCCACAGTGGTTCTACAGGTTATGTAAATTGAAACTAACTCAAGTGAGGGCATGCCTCTTTTTACAGAATTTCACATTATACTTTTTTTTTTTTTAACGTAGAATCCAGATCAAAACAGACAAGGCAGACTTCCCTTCTTCCTGTCTCTTTTTATTGAAGGAATGAGGACGCAGTTACTTCCCAGTGCGGGCTTCTCTTCTGCCAAATCTATTCCGGAGTCACACCCTTAAAGCTGAAATCTTTGCATTCTAGTTAAGCACGCCACTCAGATTCCAAGTGCATCCCACCTTCACATCTTATTTTTGTTTTTAATTCCTTCTTTATTTGAGGTCCTTGAGGATTTTCCTTATTTTTATTTTCATATGAGTTTACTTGTGCCTTCAAAGGGATACTTTTTTTTTTAATACACACTTACAAGGTTTATGTTCCAGGTGTTCTAAGCATTCACAAATATTAAGTTAGTTAATTCTCTTAACCCTGTAAGCTGATACTATTATCTTCGTTTTTACAGATGACAAAATTTGAGGCACAGAGGCTGTTTCTTGCCTAGGATCACACACCTTGTTAAATATACCTCATAGACCATCATCTGTCTAGGTGTGTGTGTGAGTGTGTGTATTACACTGCTGCTTTGGCTGCTCAAAAGTGGTTTCTCTACAGTTAATGACATGTTCTAGAGGTTGTTTTTAAGAATAGTTGGAAATAATTACTTATGTTTACATGAACAGCCACTGTTGAGCATTCATTGTTTCTTACCAGTGGGTGCCTTCTTTGCTTTTCTCTCCTGGGACTCTTAAGAACAATTTATCTTGTTTCAATTTGGAGTCTCTGTATGCCATGAAAATTGACATTCCTACCACTGCACTCTGCCATACTTCTAAAATCAAAGTTTTGCAGTGTGGATCAAAATGCCCCGCTTCTAACCTGACAGATTTCACACTTGACAGAAATGCATAAAGAGACAGAAATATTGAGGGTTTATGGCAGTCGATTGAATAATCATTGTCTCCTTTGGTGGCTAGGGGTTTTATACCCCAAGGCCATGCCCCATACTAAGATTTAGAAAGGGTGAGGGGTACGCCTTTTTAAAAAATGAATGGTGGGATGTCAGCTGTGCAGAGGGGGGAGCTGGGACAGGACGATCTTCCTGCTGGCACATACTCAGGTAACTTAGTTAGAAAATAGGCTTCTTGTGCAAGATGAAAATCTGGAAATTGATTTTCATTAAAAAGTCTTTGTGATGTATGCTTTAGAAAGTTTGAATTACTTATACTCCACATTACACAAATCTGTGCCATATTACGTGATACCTGCCGTAGAAAAGTCCAAGTTGGAAGACGATTCTAGAGTACTGTTTCTCACGTTTGTACTTCATGTATCCTGATGTGAACCAGTGCTTGGGGATTGTCTGAAATTAAGTGTGGACAGAGGAAAGTAGAGCTCTCTCTGACACCTTGTGGTAGCATCTGAGCACTACAACCGCGGCTATCAGTTTGTAATCACATTTCTAGGGCTCCCTTCATATGAAACACTTAAAGTGCCTCACTTTTCTTTATATGAGAGAATCTGCCCTAAATTAAAGCAAAAAGTCTTCATTGCATGGATATTCTCTGCATATTGAAATTTTCAAGCGTTGGCCTTTTAAACCATTTGTATGTTTATTCCTTTAATATTTACATTAACTCAGGAGGTTAGCAATTCCCTGTACCATGAGGTTGATTGGCATATTCTTTCATACTGTGTTACTGTGAATAGCATCAAACATAAAATCCTTTGAAATCAAGGTTTGTGGTATTTAAACTATTATTCGATGTTGTTTAAAGGGTTTATAGATGTATTCTACTTTACTGCTACAAGTTCAACTATAATGAACTCGGAGTAAATAATATAATGGTGTCAAATATTGATTTTCCAGAGACCACCAGAAACGCTTGTTGATTAATAAGCAAAGTTTATTAAACCTAATGCACTAAGGAGAAAACACAAAGTATTAGTTGTGTCTCACAGTAGGGAGATTAGGAAATGATACAAGATTTTAGAGTCTTGGCTGGGTAATTTTGAAGTAGGTCTTGCAAGGTTGGTAATGGATTGGACAATTTATGACATCATGGTTTTGGTGTATATAAGAGGCAGGGAGGGGTTTCAAAACTAGTCTTGATGAGTAAACCATTTAGTTGACTGAAAGCTTTATCTTCCAGGAATCTTATCTTATGTTGTTGTATCTTCCAGATATGTCCTGAAAGAAGCAGCTAAGTTATTTTTAGTTGGTCTCAGTGTTGTTTGACACAAGGACAGAAAATTATATTGGTTTTGTTAAACAAAAACAGAAGAAACTTTCATGGCCGATAGCTTTTCTGAAAGAAAGGGTTTATTGAGGCAAATGCTAGCCAGAAAAGGACCAGATCTAGGGGCATGCAGTCTAAACCACCAGCAGCAGGGCCAGGTGGAAGAGACAGGCACGGCCACAGTCCTGGAATCGACGGGCACTTTCATACATTATGTTTTGGGGAAGACAGATGTAAATTGCTTTGAAAGAATTTATATCGGTTGCAGATAAAGGAGTAGTGGGGAAAGGTGAAGCAGGGGCTGTCCTAGGATAGGTGCACAGCCAGTAAGGAAGAGGTTTACCACTTTGGATTGGTGTGGGAAACAGTCCTGAAAGTTCCTGCATTGTCGGGATGCTGTGGAGTCTGGTGGTCGTTACAGTAGTTCATTCAAAGCTCCAGGAAGCACTCAGGAATGTGAGCACTCTATTTTTAGTTGGTCCACAGCTATTAATTGGTTAACTACTTTCACTCTCCTGCCCACTGTAATTTAATTCAGAACCCCTAAGAATTTTTCTCTTCTCAGTTTCTGTTCTTAAACCTAAGACCTGAATTAATTTACATAAATCATTGGTTTGTTTCAGCTTTGCCCGAAGTTTTTACATACAAATTCTACTAGTCACACTTGGCCATTCAGTGCTGTTGCTGAATTAATAGGTATGTAGAATTGACATTCATATGTGATCTGTTGCTCGCAATTGAAATTTTAAAACTTTTCATTGAAAAATAGTATGTAAATGTGCTTTAAAAAAAATAAATGGTGGGGGAAGGGGGAGGTAGATGGGGTAGATGGGGTAAAGGGGGTCAATATGTGGTGACAAATCTAGCTATGGGAGGTAAACAGTGTAAATATATATGTGTGTCTTACCGTTAAAGTGTACAGCTGAAACTTACTGGATTTCATTAACCAATGTCACCATAAAAAATAAATTCAAAAATAAATAAATAACTAAATGTTATCTTAAATGATAACATTTTAGGTAAAGGTTACCTAGCATAACGACTTTGGATGTCAAATTAATTATTGCTCAACCCTCTCTATACTACTGGCAAGTATTTTAATTTGCTAAGTTCATAAAACGTTTGTTGAAAATATTTTTATTCTGATTACGTAAGAAACAGGTCTATTGCAAAAAATGAGAATTATGTTTTTAATAGTTGGGAAATATGTATAATATAGAGTGCACTTATTTTTCTGGTGTTAATAAGTAGGATTAATGTTATGTTAGATTTGTGATAATAAATTCTTGCTTCCTCCAATAGAATAATCAGGATACAAGATTGTATTTTAGTAATATTTTAATGAACATGAGAAAAGAGGCAAGGTTGTGATCAGATGTACATTATGGGTCATGATTTTTTCCTTGGGAAAATTCATGCACGCGAATTTTAATTTAAGCATGTGTTTGAGAAACAGATAATAAAGGACAATTATATTCTTAGGAATTCTTAGATATAATTGAGATTATTTATCAAGGAAGGGTTCTATCTTAGATGAAAAAGAAAAGAAGGAACCTTCGAGCACCCTTCTTTTCCAAAGTTTCCCAGCTGACATTTGCTGTTCTGGTGTTTTTTTTTTTAACGCCTGCAGCACCTGGTCTTCCTAGGTAGTCTCTCATCCAAGCACTAACCAGGCCCGACCTGCTTAGCCTCCGAGATCAGACGAGAGTGGGCACGTTCAGGGTGGCATGGCCACAGACTCGGGTGGTTTTGAAAACCCAGGAGTGGATACGCTGCTGCACGGCAGCCATGCTCAGTCGTTCTTGTTTTACTGCACCCGAGAGGAGCTGCCCAGCCGGGAGTGTTCGTTCACGGACGCTGATTCTCTAACTTTCGCTTTCGCTTAGAGCAGCCGACAGTCATGGTATTATTCTTTGTGGGGTATCAGATTTTAAGTTTTTAATGAAACACTGCCTTTCCTGAAGTGGTTGATTAGAAAAAGATTATTTGATTTTAATTGTAGCCTGCCTTAGGGAAGGATAATTTGAGAACCATTATTTATGTTATAATGAACACTTAAAAATATACCTCAAAAAGTAGTTTTGGTTAGTTAGGGATATTCAAATGGATCTTAGATAGTTCACAGGTTTATTTTATTACTGCTACTGTTGACATTTTTTCATTTTTCTTTGATATATTCTTTTGTACTTGGCTATTCGGAGAGGAACATGGATGCTAAACCAAGGGTGTTATACGGGGAGGTATACAGAGATCATAGAAGTATAAAAACTGCCAGAAACTGGTTAGATTGTGTTAAATTCAGCCCAGTAAATTCGAAGATCTAATTCGGTTTAATTAAGCAACTCATGAATGGGGCAGCATCCCATCTAGCAACTAGGAGGGCATTCAGAGGAGTTGTACAAAATGGAAGGATTTTGTAGGAAGAAGGTTGGGACAGGGGAGCTATTAGTGAAAGAAAAGAAAGGATTATTTTGGGGACATCTTTTGGGGGAGGAAAAGAAGGGGAAGAAAGGTTTTTACCTTAAAGGTTGCGTTGCCTCTTCTTTCTCTTTAGGGGATGGAGAGGGCCTATGTGACACATTGATGACCTTGCTACAGGTGCTTGACCAGAAATTCCAGACTGGTTAAGGTTAATTCAGATAACATTTGAGAGGTTACAACTTTAGTTAGTTCAAAATCCGTATTAAAAGCTAGGCTTGGCGTCATGGACTTTTATTAGCCCAAGTGACACCATTTGGGGCCTCTGGTCTTCTCTTTAACAGTTGAAAAGGGGCACAATTTGAAGAACTTTGTGGAAAGTAAACTTCCATCTATGTATGTAGCTTAGCAGAACACGATACTGCTGTCTCATTTATTCATTAACCGCATTGTGTTCCTTCCATGACACGCAGCTCTTCGTTTCTCTTATGGTAACCAGGCTAGTTCTTTGGGCAGAAGACCTTGTCTTGATTATATCTGTAGTGCAGTGATCTTCCTGCTTTTACGCTGTTTCAGTGTAGTGAGTATCAGTCTTTGCTTGTTATGTAATGAATGGAGGGCTTTGGAAAGAGTTAATTCTGAATTGTCAGTGAGCGATATATAGCAGGATACAGTTAGCTTTTCAAATGTTTTCAAATCTTAGGAATTCTTAAACATTTCAACTTTTTCAATTTCCTTAAAATGTTATTGTGTTGATTGTTAAAGGATTGTTCTGAACTAATTGCTTTCTTTAAAATGCAAACCGAAAATTTCTCAAAACTTTTGCTTCTTAGATAATGCATATGATCCTGATGTGAATGCTAAACAGCTTTGGATTGACAAAACAGTGATAAATAAGCAGATATGCTTGACCTTCACCGATAATGGGAATGGCATGAATTCAGATAAATTACATAAAATGCTAAGGTATGTAAAAGGGTTTCATGTGTCATACTTATTGCCCATAGTTTTTATTTTTTAAACATGAAATGCTACACCTACAGTGTGTTCTGTTCTCTAAATCGTCCATCATTTTCTACCTATTGGGCAGTCCCTACCATTTTTCCCATCACTCCCTCCCCATGTCTGACTTATCTGAAATTCCATCATTCTTTTATAGAAGCGTAGCGCATTGATATCAGTTATTTATACTTTAGTGTAAATTAGTTTTAACTGGTATTTCCAATAAAACTTACTACTTTGGGGGTGGTAATTTTTAAAAGATTCAGAGGATGAGGAAGCAGCATAAAATAGTCATAAGGCTTTGGGCTCTAGAGTCGCACAGTAGGATGTCATTATGAAGCCAGATGTGCCTAACATGGAAACTAAGATACATAGGACCAGGTACAAGGTAGAGGATGAATTTTGCAGCAGAAGCCTTTCTACTCTTCGTCAAATATTCCTCATGCTGCCCACAAGTCAGCATGACCCCATCAGTGATCATACTACAGCAGGCTTGCTGAAAACAGGAGAATCATACATACATAGAGGAAGAGATTTCATGGAGTGAAAGAAATCTCAAGGTCCTGGGCCCCAAATAATAACTCAACGGCTTAGCCAGGATGTGCCAGGCAATGAGCTCCTGTTTTAGCTTATGTAGTCCTTAAGTACCCCTATAGTTTACACTTGGTTTCCTTCATTTCAGAGATGGGGAAACACATCAAGGCAGATTAAAAGATAATTTGCCCAAGATTATACATGTGGGAAGGATGAGGCCAACATACAAACCCAGGCTTTTTCCATATTACGGTGTTTGAGTTAAAAACATGAACATCATACATACTTACTTCTTTAAATTTTGCTTTTCTTTTTAGCTTTGGCTTCAGTGACAAAGTCACCATGAATGGTCATGTCCCAGTTGGATTGTATGGGAATGGTTTCAAGTCAGGTTCTATGCGTCTGGGTAAAGATGCAATCGTTTTCACCAAAACCGAGGAGAGCATGAGCGTGGGCTTGCTGTCGCAGAGCTACCTGGAAGCCGTGAAGGCGGAGCACGTTGTCGTCCCGATAGTGGCGTTCAACACACACCATATCCTCTCGATTTTCAAATGCAAACTGTGCGGGGCCTGCACAGACGATGCGGGCCATCCTGACCTTAGCCCTCCCCCACATTCTTTCTTTAAGTCTCACCTTCCATCTCAGCGCTCGTTCCTGTCCACTGCCTCTGCTCAAATCTGGGGCTAAGCTTTTCTCTGTTGGAATTGCACCATGCAAAGCCTTACCTTACCGTTAGCTGGTTGCATTTTATGTTGAGCTCCCCATAGCTCTCTCCTTTTTACTTCGGTCTTGTGGTCTAATAAGACTTGCGGTCTGGCCTGAAAATTTCTCTACCATGAAAAGCAAGAGATCTTTAGGAATATACCTTCTGTAGAAACACATTTCAAATATTGGAAACAATTAGAGATGATAAACTTGCTCATACTTCATCCTTCAGGTTATTCAGTTGAAATCATAAAACTTAGAATATCATTTATTAAATAGTTTTGCTCTTGTTTAAGTTTGAGTTGTTTTCCATATTTCAATTGTAGAAAATATGTGGTTGGTCTGAGTCTTTAACTTAGGATATACGACAGATGATTAACTTAGCGGAAACACAAGCAAGCCTTGCTGCAATTCTGGAGCATTCTCTTTTTTCTACGGAACAGAAATTACTAGCAGAACTGGATGCTATTATGGGTAAGAAGGGGACAAGAATCATCATTTGGAATCTTAGAAGGTAAGTATAGACCTCAGCTAGTTGTTAATCATTTGGGAAGTAAAGTGCGTTTGCAGGAATGATTTTATTACATTCATCCATTGTTACACAGAGTAAAAACACACTGGAAGGTGGCATAGTTAATGATTTTTATTTTTTCCCAAGGATATTTTATTGAGGCCACTTGGCTTCAATTTGCAGTAATTTTATATTACTAAAAATAAATTTCCTAGTCCTGCCATTTAGTCTTCATAGCACTCAATTGCTCTTTGTTATTCCACCTATCTCTTCCTCAACAGCAACAACAGAATACACATACATACACACACACACACACGCGCGCGCGGAGAAATGAGAAGGTAAAAACCCAGCCAGGTCCCAACCTACAAGTTGAGAGATCTTTGTCCATTTGGTCCATTACTTAAAGCTAACGTGATTTAGCACATGTTGAGAAAAGTAATATAGGTGAGACTTCTATGTTGCGTAAATTTATAGTGAGGATAAGATCCTTTGCAAATAAAAATTTTAAAATTTAGGATGATTGTAATATTGAGAGACTTAAGACATGTTAAACCATGGGAACAAAGCACAAATACTGGTAAACTTAAAATACTTTAAATCTGCTTTTCTATTCTCCCGTATTCCCTTTTTCTTTTCTTTTCTTTTTCTTGCTTTTGTTTCTGTGTCCCTCTCCCAGTTTTTTTTTATTTAAACTTTTAATTTTGAGATAATTGTAGATTCATGCGCAGTCGTAAGAATAATAGAAATCTCACGTACCATTTCCCCAGTTTCCCCCGATGGTGACATCTTGCAGAACTAGAGTATACTCACTAGGATGTCAGTATTGACGTTGATACTAGTCCAGATACAGGACGTTTTTATCACCACAAGAATTTTCAAATTGCCCTTCTACGTCCACACCCACTCCCTCCTTAATCCCTGGCAACCTCTAACATGTTCTCCATTTCTATAATTTCGTCATTTCAAGAATGTTGTCTAAAAGGAATCATACAGTGTGAAAGTGTTGGAGGTTGGCCTCTTTCTTTCAACGTAATTCTCTAGAGATTCAGCCAGGTTCTTCCATATCTCATAGTTTGCTTTCTTTTTCTTGCCAAGTAGTATTGTATTGTATGGCTGGAGCAGTGTGTTTAACCATTCACCTGTTAAAGGCTGTCTGGGTTGTTTATAATTTTTGGCTATTACAAATAAAGCTCTAAATATTGGTGTACAGGTTTTGTGGGAATATAGTCTTCATTTTTCTACAGTAAGTGACCCAAGAGTATAATTGATGGTTCATATAGTAGTCACATGTTTAGTTTTTTAAGAAACTACTAGAATGTTTTTCAGAGTGGCTCTACTAGACATTTGATCTTTTTACCAGCAATGTGTGAGTGAATTCAGTTTGGGGCATTTTCCTAGATTCCTTTTCTTTCATTTTTTTCTTGCTTTTGTTTCCCGCCACCACCACTACCGCAGATAGGTGTTTTGTTTTGTTTTGTTAACTAATAGTAACTCCTTGCTTTTCTTGCTGTGAAGTTAAAATTTAGCTGCTTCAAAAAAATTATTTTTACAGCTACAAAAATGCAACAGAGTTTGATTTTGATAAGGATAAATATGACATCAGAATTCCAGAAGATTTAGATGAGACAACAGGGAAGAAAGGGTACAAGAAGCAAGAGAGAATGGATCAAATTGCCCCTGAAAGTGACTATTCCCTGAGGGTATGTATCCACCTCTCTTTGTGGAAATGAGAAAATCAAATGGAAATTTGTGTTACCGGCTTGTGTTATAAATGCTACCATTGATCTCTAAATGAAAGTATCTCACAAGGACCTACCTACTAAACTTTTCATGCGCACACTGGTTGTTTGATTAGAATCAGTTTTTTAATTGTGAAGTCATCAGGTCTAACAGCGTTTCTACTTTCACTATGTAGTTATCTTATTAAATTGGGAATACTACAATCAGTGTATCTTATGACAGCCGTAATGATTAAGTCAATCAAAAATATCAAATTCAGTTATTTTTTTAAATTTAAAATGTTCTAGGATACACCTTAAAATCCTACTGCTATAAATTATGTATAGACTAGATGTGATGTACATTATTATAATTTTGTGATAAATATCTCTGAGATTTAACCTTAGAAATGGTATTTTTTTGAGATTGAGGAAATTAATATCAGCATAACAATGATGTTATAATAAGAATATTAAGTTTCTTAGTTACTATGATAAGACATATCATACTATGTTTTCCCTTTATTTTGGCACTGAAAGATTGCATAACCCCGAGCCGAGATACATTTGACATTTACAGATATTACTATCCTTTGATGTACCCCAATGTATTAGTGAAGTATTTTCTAATTGTTAAGAATATCTTGCTCAAATATCAGATGGGTCTAGAGGCAGCCAGAGCAGATGGTGGTGTTTTAGTGTACCACGAAGTATTAAGTGTTTTAAAATATCATTAATGGGTTTTATAAATGACAGAACACTAATTTTAAAGTCAGGAGTCAGGAAAAAAAAATAAGAGAAAAGTTCAGATCATATCATACGTGCTGTTTTGTAATTTTTTTTCACTTGTTAACGTAGGTCAGTAGATTGTTTTCTGTGAATTATTTTCACTGGCTACAATATATTGAGTTTATTTTTAATGAAAAGTAATAAAATATTAACATACAGCTTTATAGTGTGATTTTACTGAAGAGTCAATGGGTCCTTTATGAAAGCAAGGTGGTAGCTTTCTTTTTAAATACATGTGTAAGTAGTGTCAAACAAACATGTAGATAACTGTTTTCTAAAGGACAGATGTTGTGTCTTTGCAGGCTTACTGCAGTATATTATATCTAAAGCCAAGAATGCAGATCATCTTACGTGGACAGAAAGTGAAGACACAGCTAGTTTCAAAGAGTCTTGCCTACATCGAACGTGATGTTTATCGACCCAAATTTTTAGTATCCTTTATTTTCTTTTTTGTGATGTCGTATAGAGCTGTATCAGTCAGGTGTATTCCCCTTCCCCATTTCTTCATTTATCCTAATGGATTCTGATTCTAACTTTGCCCTTTTTAATGCACTTTTGGACTCATAAATAATGAAATAGAATGATTTGAAAGGAGTAAGGTGGTGTGTTTAGAATTTTTCTTAACATTTAAGGCTAAAACAGTGAGAATTACTTTTGGATTCAACTGCAGAAATAAAGATCATTACGGGATAATGATGTATCACACAAATAGACTAATCAAAGCTTATGAAAAAGTTGGATGTCAGTTAAGGGTAAGCTGAAAATGTCTATATCTTTTAAAAGAGAGTAACTTGTTATTGGGTCAAATGTGAAATAATAATGCTTTTTGCCTAATGACTTTTAAATGTTAAGTTTTTAATAACCTCGGTATGGCACTTGAACTTAAAACACTTTTGATACCAGTTTCTTATTTGGTCCTGAATAATCACATGAGGGGTACAGAACATTTTATCTCTGTTTCGCAGATGAGGAAATGGGCTCATAAGACCTAATAGATCTGATGATGAGTATGGATCTCAGACACGAATGCAGATCTTTTGTCTGCATTTGGATGTGGACCCCTGATTATTTCATGCTGGAATGAAATTGGTTGGCTTTAATTAGTGCTGACTTAATAGTGTGAAAAAAACTATCTGATAGCTGATTTACTTTTTTGGAGTTAGTTCCTAAATATATTAGAGCCTTCCTCCTATACCACTTCCACTGTAGAATTTAGGATGATGAACACGGTTTCATGTCAATCTGTTTGTCCTTTACATGTTTTCACAGAAAGGTTTTTTTGGTGCGTGTGTTAAGAATTCAGTGATAAATTCTGAAAGTCACCTTGTTTTTAAATTAAAATTATTTAGGTGACATCGATTAATAAAATCAAATAGATTTCAAGTGTCCAATTCAGTAATATGTCATATCATATGTATATTGCATTGTGTGTTCACCGACCAAAGTTAAATTTCCTTCTGCCACCAAAATTTGATTCTTCTTACCCCAACTACCTCTCCCCTCCCTACCTTCCCTCTGGTAACCACTGATAGACTGTGTCCACGAATCTCTGTTCGTCATGTTTGTTACTTTTAGTTTTATATCCCACATGTAAGTGAATCATATGGTTCTCAACTTGGTCTGACTTATTTCACTTAGCATGATAACGTCAGGATTCATCTATGTTGCCCCACTTGGCAGGATTTCATCTTTTCTTATGGTTAAGTAATAGTCCATTGTGTATATATGCCACATCTTCTTATCCTCAAAAAACTAAGAATAGAATTACCATATGACCCAGCAATTCCTCTTCTGGGTATTTAACCAAAAAACTTGAAAACATTTATCTGCAAAGATATATAAACAAACAGCAGTGGGTTGTGAGCTCAGGACATATACCCAGTCAGCATCTCCCATCCTCTGCCACCTCCAAAGGCACGCCTTGAACCTACCTGATGGTCCAGAGAGTCCAGTTTAAAATCCAGTCATCTAATCTATAACCTTATTTGATGTGATGCTTCATACCATTGTCTCCACCACTTAGAATCCAATCTTTGATCTCCTTTAGTTGCCCTATTCATATACATCAAAACACTTGAAAAGTCTAACTCCTGTTAAATTGGTATCAACATAAAAAAGATAAGATGCAGAGCATGTCTTCAGCTCCGCTTGGTGAGGCAGATTTGGTAGGTATATCCTTAGAGCATCAGAAAAGGCTCTTTGGAGAAAGTGGTGATTAAGATGAATCTCGGTTGACTGTACTTTGTTGGAAAGTCTGGCAGGGGCTTTCCAGGCAGAGGAAAGAACATCTGCAAAGGAAGGGAACGAAGCTTCTGAGACTATAACATCACTAAGGGAGTAATTTGCTGTGCCTGGACCAGATGACAAGTGGGAAATAGAGTAATGGGAGAGACAGGAAGGTGAGGCTGGAGAGAAGGTGAACAAAACTACAAGTTGAAGGATTTACAAATGGTATGAGATGTAGAACCATTGGTGGTTTTGAATAGAGTAGGATTATGATTAGATGTATATAGTTTCATCTGCAGTTATGAAAAGTTTCATAAGTTACATATTCTTTCACTTTATGTAGACTCAAGTAAGTTGCAGTCGTGAACAAAATATGCTTGGTAGTCATGTAGATAATCAGAGTATGACCCATATGCTTTGAGTTCAGTATTTTAGCTAGCATGTGTAAATCTGAATAACTGACTTTAATTTTTATCTAACAAACTTATGGAACATTATATGCCAGAGCCTTTGCTAGTCACTGTGGATGTAGAAAGGAGTTAGTTGTGGTTTCTGCTCCCTAAGAAGTTACATCCCAGTAGAGGTGGTCTTTTTTCCCCTTGTGAAAAGTTGAGGGTGATAAAACTTGTCCAAATGGGTATCTGACAACAGTGAAAGTAGTTTTAGAGGAAGGCTCTAATATATTTAGGATTAACTCCCAGAATAGTAAATTACCTACCAGACACTGTTTTTCTGTCTAAATTTCATAAGAATCTTATGAGATAAGACATAGGAATATGTTTCATACAAATTACAAATTTTTGTGGACAGGTTATAAGAGCATCATATCTTATGCGTAAAATGCCATTTTCATTTTCAGGCAAACAACATGGGTGTTGGAGTAGTGGGAATTATAGAGTGTAATTTCCTAAAGCCAACTCATAATAAACAAGATTTTGACTATACTAATGAGTACAGGTATGTTAACTATTTAAATTATTGACTTTTTACTGTTTATTTTGGAAATGCTTTCACAACTTTTTCTAAGCTGACATTTTTTTCTGTCTTATGGATGTTTTTTCATTATAGAACTTTTAAGAAAATGGGTAGGTGAAAAGCTTGCACAGAAAACACTTTTACACATCATCTTCCATCCTAGGAATTCTCTTTCCTCACAAGTAGAAATTTATTCTCCCCTGTCTTTATTGATGACATATTTCAGAGATTCACAGAAAATAGAGAAAGTCCATGCTTTCTTGTTATCACAGTTGTTTGTGTAATCACAAAATCTTGAAACTTTGCACTTGGATGGGAATTTTAAGGTAATTTTGTTCTGTGTACCTTAGACAGAAAAACTCATTTGTTAAGAGCAGTTAGAAGCCATAGAATAAATATGACTATTGATGTCACTTGTAAATTTAGGAAGCACAAACAGTCCTAATGAACATATGTTATGGAATAGAATGCAAATGTTATATAAATATTTATGGTAAAGACAAATGCCATAGGCCTTCTCCTCAAATGAACAAATAAAGCAGTGGGAGGAAGGACATAAAGATAAGAGCAAAATCAGTGAATTAGGAAACACATACAAGAAAAAATAAATATATCTTCAGAGTTTGGAATAGTAGAAGGTGATTACTAAAAGGAGTAGGTGTCCAGAACAAGCAGGTACAAAAGAGCAGGTGTTATCTCTAGATTGAAAAAGAATAGACAATAAAGGAACTAGGAGAAAGGCCGCCTACTCCTGAAGTCAGAGATTCAGATCTCTTAATAGAGGTCATGACAAACAGGAATAAGCTACCTGCCATGGCAAGAAATTTGCCAGATGGCCTGGCCAGTGTAGGTCTGTACACGTGGCCCGCTGTTGCCGGAGGCTGTGGGTGGGCTGGAGCTGGTGTGTAGAGATCTACCTGCCTGAGATCCAGGTCTGCTAGAACTGGTCTCTTGCTGGAAGGCAGAGCATGGCCTAAGAGCACAGCTAGAGCTCCTTCAGGAGGCCACTGGGTTCCAGCCTAGTAGTAACGGTGGGTACCAGAACCTGAAAGACAAGTGTCCTACTGCTGTCACGTGGCAGGTTCATTTCCTGTTAACCCAGTTAAGCATTCCTCAGGCTGGCAAAGGGTAAATGTTTACAGGATCGAGCTCTAGTATCACAAAGCTAATCAAGAAAGCCTAGGATTGGAGCTGACACAATCAAAAAGCTCCAGGTTGTTCTTTGATAAGATTAATAAAGTCTGTACGCATCTGGCAAGACTCAGGAACTGCAGAGAAAACATTGTCAGTGTCAGAAATGAACAAGAGGACGTTACCATAGATCCACAGACAAAACCTTGATCAGAGGGATAGCATGAATGAGTTCCCCATTAGAAGTGATATGAACACATTCCTTTGACGTTGAATCAGTTTTTAGAGAACTTACCACATATTAAATTCAAACATTTAAGGAAGAAGTGGCACAAGTCCTATACAGACTCTTCAAAGATTTTATGAGGCCACATAACTTTGGTAGTGAACTCATGAATATATTATAAGAAAGGAAATTTATGTCAATCTCTCATGATCAAGATATAAAAATCTTAATTAAAATAATTGCTAAAACCATCCAGTGCCATATAAAAAGGATAATACATTAAAACCAAATGGATTGTATTCCAAGATGGCATGGGTAGTTTTTAATATTAAGAAATTAATGTTATTCTTCAATTGATGTTAGAAAATAAAACTCACATGGTTATTTTCATAGGTACAGAAATTTCTTATATTCATGAGTTCACTACCAAAGATATGTGGCCTCATAAAACCTTTAAAGATCTGTGTAGGACTTGTACTACTTCTTTCTGTTTGACTTTAATATGTGATAAGCTTTCTAAAAATTGATTTGATATCAAAGGAATGTGTTTATAGCACCTAAAATGGTGAAAATTATTTTTTTCTGAATCACACCCATTTATGATTTAGGAAAAAAGGGAACATTTACAAAATTATTAGTAGGAAGTGCCTAATAACAATACAGAGTATTTACAAAAAAACAGGAAGCATCATTTCTAATGGTGATTAGATAGCCAACCCGCCCAAGAGTGAGAATGAGACAAGGATATTAGCAATTCACCATTGTTCTTGAGGAAATAGCCAGTACAATAAGACAAGAGAAAGAAATGAAAGTTATAAGGATTGGAAAGGAAGAAATGTTTTCTGTAGATGATAATATTTAAGTATATAGAAAGTCCAAAATAATCTGCAATTAGAATTCATATAGGAACAAGTAACATGTATTCTAAGGTTGTTAGATAAGTATTCAGAAATTACTTCTATTTCTGTTTATCAGTAACAACAGAAAAACTACATGAAATTTTTAAAAATAATTTATAATAGCATCAAAAAATAAATACAGAATAAATAAAACATGCAAAGACCTGAACACACCGAAAACTACAAAACATTGTTGAGTGGAATTTAAGACTTGATAAGGTATACTAGTTTAAAGAATTGGAATACTAGATATAAAATGTTGATTTTTCTCCGAAATAATTAAATGGAATTCCAGTTTAAAAAAAAAACAAACCCAGTAGGTGTGTGTGAATGGGTGTCGATATATGAATAGGCTTATTCTAAACTTTATGTGGACAGTCAGAAGAGCAAAGATCATTAAGACAATCATTAAAGAATAATAAAGCAATAGATAGGATAAAGTAATAGATAGTAGTATAAATCCTATACTACTAAGTGTCAACGTATATAAAGTTGTATTAACTAAGAAATGAGTGTTAATGAAAGACAGTCTAGTGAAGAAGAGAAGCCAAAGCAAAACCCCACTTTTCATATATACAGTCACCTGATTTATGACAGGTTACATTGTAGCGTAGTGAGAAAATGGTCATCTTTCCAAAAATACTGGGTCAGTTGGCTACCTGTATAGATAAAATGAACTTTAACTCCTATTTCTCAAATGAAAAAAACAGTTCCAGGTAGATTGTAGACCTAAACGAGAAGGGCAAAAACAAGATGGAAACAAGAATATTTTCATAACCTTCAATTAGGCAGGTTTTTTTAACTCGACACAAAAAAATACTGATCGTAATGGGCAAAAAGGGAAAAATTGTCTACAATGAGTAAAACAACAAATGGTGGCAAGATATAGGGAGGTTAGAGCTCTTATAAATTGCTAGTGGATATGAAAATTGTTGATCATTTTTGAAAAAAATTAGACCTTACCAAGTCAATGCCCACCCCTGTGCTACTGCAGTTCCACGCTGAGGTGCGTTCTCCACAGAAGAGGGCGCATCTCTTGGACTGAGGAATAGAGATGATGAGCAAGAGATGAAGAGTTGTGGCCATAGCCTTAGGTATCTCAGTAGGTCCAATTGATTTGCTTTTTAACCTCTTATTGTGGAAGAAGTGAAAGTCTTAATTGCGGGACAGAAGCTACATGAAGTACACTTGCTGCTAATGATCATATACTTTCATAAACCAAAAGAATGAGTTCCGATTTGAACCTTGTCAGGTTGGGGTTGAAATTCAGAGAGCCTGCAGTTCTCCCAGTAATTGGTTGACAACATACTTTAACAACAGGGGACACAAAGTATCATTTTGTGTCTTATTTCCTAGATGGTCCTGGCTCTTCTCTAGGAACTTACCAAGGTGCTTATAGAAAACTGTCATCGTTTGGCGTTCTTTGGAAGCTGGACCTTTTGGAGTTGTCCCTTCCTCTCAGTGTCCACCTACTCATTACTAGGTTATTTATGCTTTCTCTGTGTTTGACAAAGATTTAATCTTTATCATTCTTTTTTCTTAAATGGATTTTATAATTTACTTTTTTAAGGCTTACAATAGCAGCACTAGGAGATAAACTGAATGATTACTGGAATGAAATGAAAGTGAAGAAAAATGCAGACTATCCTCTAAATTTGCCAGTTGAAGATATGCAGTAAGTACATTAAAAAAAAATCAACATTCTCATTCAGGGATGGTATCTGCAGGCATTCAGAATGGTCCAGCGTTTGACGTTCCGTAGGAGGCTCACCTATAATACAGCCGCTAACAAAACTAGGCTGTCCTGAACCCTTGGGAATAGAATTGTTTACTTTACCAAGAAGGTTGGGAAAGCACCAAAATCTGCATGCGGCATATGCCCAGGCCGACTTGGTGGAGGTCGTGCTCTGAGACGTAAGTTCTAATGAGGTTAAAGTTCTAAGATGAAAAACACGTCAGCAGGGCCTGCGGTGGATCCACGTGTGCTAAATGTGTTCGTGACAGGATCAGGCGTGCTTTCCTTATTGAGGAGCCGAAAATCGGTGTGAAAGTGTTGAAGGCACAAGCACAGAGTCAGAAAGCTAAATAAAAAAAGTGAAGCTTTTTTGAGTAGTAAAACAATTAAAAGGCTTGTTCTGCTAAAAAAAAAATCAGCATTCTCTAATATCAGGATGTGATACTAGAGGGTATAGTGATTGTATAGAGTTCGCAGTTGACTAACCTATAGTAAGAAATAAATTTACTAAAAGCATACTGTAAAATGAATGAATATATACATTTATATTTATATATACAGAAAAGATTCACGAAACAGTATTGATCATGTATTTTGTGTTGCTTTCATTTTAAAAATGCAAATCTTGACCTCTTAATTTAATTTCACAATCCACTAATGGGTGGCATCTCATAGTTTGAAAAACCGTGGTCTTGTTGAATAGGATCATGAATGTAAAGCCAGACTTGAGTTTAGATTCTAGTTCTGCTGCTTAAGTAACTTTGTGACATTGAACATGTTACTTGGCCTCTTATAAGCTTCTGTGTTCTCATTTGTAACATGGGAACATTAATAGCACTTACCTCCTAGAGTTGTAAAAGATATGAAGCTTGACAAGCGCTCAGAAACACAGTACATAGGAACAGTCTAATGAATAAGTAATAACTGCATACTAATGGAAAGATACTCAAATTATATGATGAAAAACAGATACAACTCAGTGTGTTAATAATTTCCCATTGTATTTTGTGTGTGTGTCCCTAACACATGCATAACATAACTTCCTAAAACAAGTTTATAATTTCCTTTGTAAATTTCTGGATTATTTCAACTTTTATGTAATTGTAAGTGCATTTTTTAAAAACTAGATTTAAAAAATTATTGGCATTTAGGTGAAGTCTTCCTATGTTAAATGAGTCTACATCAATTCTTAATAAGATCGTTGTAATTTTGTTTGTTTCATGTCTCTGTTGGCCAACATTTCAGATTTATTCAAAAACACAAACAGCAACAAAGGGCACCCACAAGTAACAGGCATAGTCCCTAACATCTGGATCAGAGGCCAGGCTGGAGGGTATTCTCTTGGCCTTACTCCGTCAGCATCTCGGTCCCTTCCTCCTCTACACCTCACGGACACCTCTGAGATCAGTTAAAACTGGAAGAAACAAAGTCACTCTAGAGGAGATTGGTTGCACAGATCACTGTAATTTTTAAATGATGAATATGAAAGTATCTTATAAACTGAAAGAATATACAGATTTTAGTTATTCAGAGATTGCCTATCATAGAGGGTAAAAATGTAATACAGTTATTAAAAATGCTTAAACTATAGTAATACAACTTGTCTCTTCTGTACTTGAGTGGTTTTTTGTGCTAATCTACAAAAATGAACTACACTTGACATTGTAGATGCTAACTTTCAGAGCAAGGCATTTGAAATACTTTTCAGTCGTTTTGTAAATTTCAGAGCAAGGCTTTTGAAATACTTTTCAGTCGTTTTGAGTTTTTATTATCGAACAAATTTAATAGTAATGGTATTAAACAGTACATTTAAGTCACTGTTTAAATCGGCCCGTGATCTTTTAACCTTTTGAAAGTAACCAAAATTGTCGTTTGTAAAAATTTGTCTTACTACACACAATAATGATATCACAGAATTTTCAGGGACAGAATTAAATAAAGGGACGTTTTGTGATGGAAATTATGTAGACAATCCAGTGGGAAGAGGTATTTAGCACCTGTGTTTCCGTGCTCACATCTGGTGGTGGTTTTGTTACAGGAAACGTCCCGATCAGACATGGGTTCAGTGTGATTCCTGTCTGAAGTGGCGAAAATTACCAGATGGGATAGACCAGCTTCCCGAAAAATGGTACTGCTCCAATAACCCTGACCCACAGTTCAGGTACCGTACAGCTGGTAGCACCCTTTCTGGGAAGGCAGAAAATGCTGTTCAGGGTGTATGAATAGGCGCTCGTGACCTGTTATTCCCATGTGATTTTTCTGACTAGAAATTGTGATGTTCCAGAAGAACCTGAAGATGAGGATCTGGTGCATCCCACTTATGAAAAAACCTACAAAAAGAAGTGAGTGTTGTGTCAGTGTGTGGTGGGAAAATAATTAGCGCCTAGTCATCAGCAGCCAACGCTTCTCTGAAATAAAGCCCATACAGCGGGCCCTTGACCGACGCCCATACCACCCCACACACCCTGCAGTCAGAAATCCAAGTATAACTTAAGCCAGCTTTCTGCGTATGTGGTTGGTTGAATCTGCATGTGGGATACCTGGGCACACAGGTCGGCCTTTGTGTTTACTGAAAAAAAATGCGTGTGTAAGTGGACCTGCGCAGTGCACGCCGTGTTGTTCAGGGGTCAGCTGTATGGCCAAAAAAGGTTATGACCCAAAAAAGATTTCGATGTGGAGTGCATGAAGTGTTGGTTTTTTTTAAATTTCTGCTGTAGGCACTTGCTGTTTGTTGCTGTCCTATATACAAGGTAGTTTGCATACAGGATAGTTTTGTCTTTTTGAGCCACACAGAGCCATCATGAGTGAATACTACCCTGTCCGAACTTAGAGACTACTAGGGAAGGTGAGACGTGTAGCACTCAGTAGAAGTTGACCAGTACCATAGAAGGCACCACCCAGTCCTGTCACCATCCAGTCCTGGTAGGAAGCCCATAAAGAGAGGGTACTTCTGGCTGGGGATGGACAGGGCAGAACGGAGCAGGAAAATTCACGAAGGACATTTTTATGATAGGCCTTGAAGGATGGGTAGGGTGAGAATGTACAGGGGACGGTGGTTTGTTTGGCTTAACTAGAGTAAATACGGGCCTGGGCATAGTGGAAAGTGGGGGTGACCTAGACACCTGGGGGTGTGAGCGTTAGTCGCCAGAGTGAACTCACAGCTGATGTACTGCACGCAGAGGCCAAGTTCAACAAGAACCTCAGGTAGCTTTGAATTACATTGCACTGTTTTAACAGTAAATCCAGCAGGATTGGAAGTCAAGAAACCATTTGGAAGCCTGTGTGATGCTCCCGGTGAGAGGTCTGAAAACGCTGTGGACAGAAAGCGAGAGGCAGACGTCAGGGTGTTACTGAGAAGTGAGATAGGAATAGAAAGTGTCTGCCCCCCACCCCCACCCCCACCTCCCGCCTGGGGCTTACCGCAGACTACCGTGAGAGTAGAGCCGGTCAGAGCCCGTTTCTGACTGACTCGTAGTGAAATGGCAAGTATGTCATTGGAACACAGAATTGAAAAAATAATGAAGTAAATTTAAATATTTTTTTTGTCTTTTTTTTAAAAAAAGGGACAAGGAAAAATTCAAGATCAGACAAGTGGACATGCCTGAGTTTCGGGTAATTTAGCCTTGCATTTTATAGCTGTGTCTTTTTTTGGGTAGTGGTTATTTTAACAGGTCATTTTAAAGCTTAGAAGTGATCTTGTTCATTCAGTTCTCATAGTTCTCCCTTTTTATCCCTTTCCTTGCCCTCCTCCCCAACCCTGATTTCTTAACCCAACAACTTCATTCAGACTGTTCAGTTTTTTTTTAGTTGGGCATCTTCTGAGAAATGGCAGACCTTCTTTTAAGAATCCTGTTGTTAGGCAGTCAGGGGAAAGTCCCAGGAACACCCAGGGCGCCACGTCCTAGCCCTAACCTGGACCGAAGCTATGGCGTTTTTCTTTCTCTTTGTTGACCACTCTCCCTGGCCCTTCTGTTTCTTAATGCTTGACGGTGTTAAAGAGCCTTTTCTGAGTCTATGAGTAGGTAGTTCTGTGTAGAAGTTTTGGCCTGCTGCACATGTGTGTTTGCTTATAATTACACCGAAATGTTTTTTTGCATAAAGGCAGAACAGAACTGGGGGGAGGGAGAAAATAGTAGGCTTAACTTTTGTTTTTAAAGGCAGTATCTTTATGACTTTAATTCCTTAGAAAAATATTTTTATTATATCTCAATAAGTCCTATGTATATAGTACAGGGCCAGCAAATCTTTCTGTAAAAGGCCAGATAGTAAATACTTCAGGCTTTGTGAGCCACACACAAGTCTCTATTGCATATTCGTTGTTTTATTTTTTGGTCACATTTTTAAAAATGTAAAAGCTCTTAGCTCACTTGCGGGGTGGATTTGGCTCATCGGGCTGCCGGCAGTTCGTTGCTCCCTGATGCACAGGGAGTTATGGGGTTAGGGCAGTTCGCAACATCTTCTGGGATAAGGGGAAAGGGAAATAAAATAATGTGTTTGGGGCATGACCCATTAAAAGAATTTCTTTAAGATCCATTTTTTTTTTCCCTCCAACAGATTAATGCTAATAATGAACTACTGTTTCGATCAACCCCTGTGTCAAGTCAAAGCTTTTCTCCCGGAAAGGAAAGTGTTCCCAGAGGACATCTTTCAGAGGCAGCAACTCCTTATGCAACCAGACTTATAAATAATCATCGGAGTTCACCCCAGTCTGAACCTGAGAGCAACAGGTGAGTGGCTAAAATGTGTTTTTCCATTTGGGGGATGAATATTAAACAGAGCCTTTACTTGACATTTCTATGGCAATAATGTACTTAAAAGAAATGGAAGTTTATATGCATGTAAAAAGTCTTAAGGACAAGTTACTTTGCTTTTATTGTCTAAACTTACCCCACTTATGCCGCCTATTTAAATAAAAAATATTGTATTTTTTTGTGGAATTCGATCAAAATGTTATTTTACCTCTTTGAGATTCTTTATGTATGAAGTCTTGCTTTTAAGATTATCAGTATCTAAGAAAAACATGGATTATTAACAGTACAACATTGTGTCAAGTGTGACCTACAAGTTCTTAGGCATAGCTCATGGTGCATTATGTTTTTTGGGTGAATGGATGGAGAAGGAAGAGAGAAACAAAGGTATGAGAGATACGTGAATTGAACAGTTAGCTCTCTTGACTAGAAAGTCAGGGAAGGCTTAGGTGCTTAGGTTGGTTCCTGATATTCTGAAAGTAGTGCTCTGTGCAGGTGGCCCAAAAGGAGTGGAATGAACACAGGTGAAGATAAAGAGTGTGATGCCCGTGAACCAGCATATCAGACTGGTCACACCTGATGTTTGTTGTTGAAAGAGAAACACTGGAACAAGGCTCTCTGCGATAGTGAGGCCAGATTTTCTGAGAGATTTCATAGGCTTCATCAGATTCTCAAAGGGATTCTTGACCTCAAGATAGAAACAACTGCCTTTATCTGTTTGTACATCAAGGAGGAGATATTCTAAAATGGTTTGCCATATATAGCCCACATTTTGAGGACTTGTTTTGGTGCTGGATTGCTATTTAAGAACTAGTGTGCATTTTTTTTTACCAGTCTCCTTAATATTCTTGGTTTTTCTTCATATAGGTAGTTCCAGACACAGGAAGAAAGAGTAAAATCCGTAAACTTTATAGACAAAAGATAATGGGATTTATTTTTAAAGGTGACTGCCATCAAAATGGAAGATGAGAATAGAAAATTTTCATTAAGTTTTAAAGCCTGTATTTATTCTCAGATCCATAGAGCCAAAATCTATGGAAAGACCTAAACTAAGCCTTTAGAAAGACAAATGGGAATTAGCTGGAGAGAAACATAATAAGGCAACTCCTAATTAACCGATGAACTCAGAGATCCCTAAATAAGCTTCAGAGCTGGGAAGCATCAGGTACTTCTGAAGGTGGGAAACAGGGCTGAGAACAAAAGGCTTGTTTGAAAGTTTAAGAGTAGTTCCTAGTTCTTCACTTGCAAAGTCTGGCATCATTGCTTCTCTTCCTGTGTCAGAAAGTAGAGAGTTTACTTTCTGGGGCAGTTTTTACTGTTGAAGATGTAGGTGAGCCTCTGTTTTAAAAACAGAAGGAGTAAGTAACAGTTCGAATACTGAATAATGAGAAATGTCCCTCCCTTTCTTCCCTCACTGGGCTCCCAAGAGAAAAGTCCTAGTTGATGATGACAGTTTTGAACCACAAGCCCAGCCCTCACTGCTTCTAGTCAGTTTCACTCTGAAATATAGACAGCCAGAGATCACCAGATGTACAAACTGAAACAAAGGGAGTAGGAGAACCCATGTGAAATTTATTAGAAGGTGGATAGACGTTGAACAAATAAATCTCTTGGATTTATTTGTTGGAAAGTAGGAGAAAGAGTAAGGTCAACATCTGAATAAGAGAATGTCAGAATGGGAACTCAGAGAAAGCAAAGGGGAGGAAATAATGTAAGAAAGACTTAATTTCCACTAAGTATACAGCATAATGTCTGGGAAAAGATCCATTCCAAGTAACATCATGAAATTCTAGAACACCAGGGAAAAGAGATTTTTTTAGAGAAGAAAAAATAGAGGTTACCTGCAAAAGATCAGGAATCAGAATGGCAAACACTGAATGGTAGATTGCAGCGGGATGATGCTTTTCGAGTTTGAGAAAGTAATTTCCAGTCTGGAAGTCCATATAAAAACCAGGCGAGCAATAAACTTGAGAGGTGAATAAAGGTTTTCATCATGTGAAATTTTACATTTTTTATGTCCTGTGTACCCTTTCTCAAGATTATATCGATATGACAAAGTAAGCCAGAGAAAGCAAAATCTTTCTTGAGGTGAAAGAAATATGAGGTCTAACACATAAGACTCAAATAGCAAACCAGTACAAATACTCCTCTAAGTGGCGCAAATAGTAATCAGTTGGTGATAAATTCACAGAAAACTAAGCAAATGAAGAAAATGAGGCAATTCTTAATGCAGGGGAAGTTGTTTTACGTGAAAGGATAGGGCATGCCGGTGTACTTTGTGGCTCACTTTTGATCACTGAATGTTGCTACAGATTATGACGGGCAAAGGAGAATGCCAGTGCCACTCACTGAGCTCTAGAATACCTAGTGGATCTGGGGTGGTGGTGGGATTCTGGTTTGGACTTGTGTCTACTGAAATTCCCAGAAGACATCAGATGAAGAGACGTTTGGCAGTACATAGATCTGATACTTTACAGATCTCAACAGTCTGTCTCCTCATCTGTAAACAGAGAAAATAATCTCTACTTCATTAAATCATTGGGCAGTACTGTGTCATATATCAGTTTTTAAAAATAAGCATGGGTATTTCTTAGAATTTCAAGGTAGGTTACTTCAGGGTCATCTATTTTGTCCATATCTATGTAATTTTACATTTTACATATAAATATTTTTCCAGTATGAAACGGAGACTTCCTACGCGTTCCTCGATTTTGAATGCAAAGAATCAGAGATTGAATAATCAGGCATTTGAAAATTCAGCTTATAAAGATGATGATGATGAAGATGTCATCATCTTAGAAGAAAACAGTACTCCCAAGCCCGCAGGAGATCACGATGTTGAAGTGAAGTTGGAGCTGAGTCACATGGAGCACAGTGGTCTGCCGGTCGAGCCGGTGGGTGATAATGAACCTTGTGGCCAGACCAGTTCAGCCGGCATCTCATCATCCAGGTGTGATCAGGGAACTGCAGTGGCCACCCAGACGGAATTACCAAGTGCAGTTGTTAAAAAGGAAGAACCCGTTGAAGATGACATAGATGCAAGAAATGACAAGGCTGTCCTGCCATCACATGTGGAAGCTGAAGGAAAGACGCATGAAACCCAGAAAACTTTTGATAAATCTGTGGGTGAGGCTGGCTGCCAGTTAAATGACCTGAAAAAGGAGCTGCTTCTGGTCACTCAAGAAAAAGAAAATTATAAAAGACAGTGTGATATGTTTACTGACCAAATCAGAGTGTTACAACAGAGGATACTGGAAATGAACAACAAATATGTAAAGAAGGAAACGTGCCATCAGTCCACTGAAACAGATGCTGTGTTTTTACTCGAAAGTATTAATGGCACATCTGAAAGTCCGGACCTCATGCTATCTCAGTATAGGCAAGCTCTGGAAGAAATAGAGAGGCTGAAAACACAGTGTAGTGCTTTGCAGCACGTCAAGCCTGAATGTGGTCAGTGTGCCAGCAGCGAGAGCAAAAGCGAAGTGGACGAGATGGTCGTGCAGCTTGACGATGTGTTCAGACAGCTGGACAAATGCACTACCGAGAGGGATCAGTATAAAAGTGAGGTGGGTGTTATCATTCGGCGTCACGATAGTCATGGGAATCTGGGGACATCTAAGCCTTAAGGGACTGGCAGTAGCTAGATTAGAATAAACCGTATTTCCATCTACTGACTGTTACTCCACTAGTTTTCAGCTGGGGAGTGGTCCTGGGCACATGGAAGTGTGTAGGGGTAGTTTTGGTTCTTGAAATGTCTTGAGATGGGCATGGCTGCATTTTAATGGGTGGTGACCAGGTATGATAAATGTCCCGTAGTGCAAGGACATTGATGTACAGCGAAGCACTGTCCTGCTAAAATACCTATGTCATTCCCTTTTTGAGATACTCAGTTGCTAAAATATAGTGGGAACTTTTCATCCATTATTCATAAGCCTCATAATAACCATACAAGGTGGATGGTGATATCTTCATTTTATAGATGCTCCCTATGTCACTTATGATTAGCTTTGTTTGCAGATGACATGAAACCCAAATGACAGAGGCAGCTTGACAGTCATCAGAGACACAGGCTCCTTTTCCATTGTTGCTTTGCTTCACATCCTGTAGTTGTGGTCTGAGGTGGCTTTTCAGGTCCAGCTGTCATCTCTCTACATTCCAAGCAGCAGGGAAGAGGAATTTCGGTTCTGGAAATTTGCTTACATTCTGTCTTTCACAAGTTAGTCACCTGGCTAATGGGTGCCTCGGAAATGGAGTCTTTAATTCGGGATTTTTCTACTGAGGTAGAAGGAGATTTAGATATCAGAAGACAAATAGTAGCCTCTGCACATCCCTGAATTCAAATTTGAGTAGCTCCCTTAAAAAAATCTGTTTTATATATCGTATTTACATGGTGTTGGAAAGGAGGATTTCTCTGCTAAAAAGAGTTTGGAAAAAAACAGAACTGCTCCTTCCTGGAAACACCGCTGATGAAACTGTTCATTCAGGCATTCGTCTTGATGGGTTGGCCCAGGAGCTCGACGACAAAAATAAAAATGTGAGCTTCGTGTCAGAGCTGACGAGTGTGCACGATGAAAGCCACTGTGACATCAACATGACGTAGGCATTTTTATCTCGGTTTTTCAGTTTTTAGGTACCAGTTTTTTTTTTTACTCAAGGAGTAATTGACATTTTCTGTTCTTTCAATGTAAAGAGATGGAGAGGTGAAATTAAAAATGAAGCTTTGTTTATAGAAAGCTATTGGGGGCTGTTTAATGTTTTTTTGATGGTAATCTTCATCAAACAGTTTTTACATGTCTTAGCTTATATTTGCACATGATGTTGCTGTTTTAAAATTTTACAGTTAAAAAGTTAATTTTTTTTTTTTGGTCAGGTTGAATTATTGGAAATGGAGAAATCACAAATTCGTTCACAGTGTGAAGAACTGAAAACTGAAATTGAACAATTAAAATCCAGAAGTCAACAGATAGGAACAGATGTTTCAACTTCAAGTAACATTGAGGAGTCTGTAAATTTTGCTGATGGAGAAAGGTAATGTTAAATGATTACTGCGCATTAAGAGACACAGGCTCCTTATTAGTAATGAATGTTCACTAAAATCATACAGCTCTTCCTGCTAATGTGGTAGGATTTCACACTCGAAAGGAACTGTTGTTGAGAAATGATCTCCTACCATCCTTCCTTGACATCAGTTGTATTACTTTGATTTTTGGCTTAGTTTTTTAAGGATTCCATTAAATCTGTTCATGGAAATAGAAAGAGTTGAATGTTACAAGTATGGAGGGCAAGAAGTCAGAAAAAACTTCCAGCCAGTGTTTCTAAAAATGGAAACGACAGCATCTATGGTGCCTGTAGAAATGCAGATCCTTGAGCCTTAGTGCAGTCTGTTAAAATGGAAACTTTGAAACGATCTCCCAGACAATTCTTTTGCACACTAAACTTTGAGTAACTGATGATCTTTTACACCTCTGCTTTCCAAAATGTAAAGCCACATGTGGCTACTGACACTTGAATTCCAGCTAGTCTGAATTGAGATGTGCTTTAGGTATAAAATATGTGCTATAGTTTGAAGCCGTAGTGTGAAGAAAGAAAAAAGGATGTAAAATATTTTGATTATATGATGAAATCATAATATTTTTAGCTACATGGGATTAACTAAAATATGTAACTAAAATTATTGTTTCATCTTACTTTTTATTTGAACTATTTGAATATTTTAAAGTGCATATGGAGCTCACAATATTTCTCTTGACAGTGGTGTTTTATACACTAAAAGTAGGAATCTGTGACATGTCTGGTCGATGGGAAGAATTAGCCAGGGACAGTCAAAGACTTCCAAAAAATCATGGATAAGGGAGTCATAGGGTCACACTAGTCTTTTGTCTACTTTTCATGTAGATAAAAGGTTGGTTATGACAAAGGAGATATTCTTGGTAGGACATAGGATGGTTAATTTCTGCAAAGCAAACCAGAGAAATATTTGGACCATAGGCGTCTGATGGAAGATGAATGGAAAGCTTGGATAAAAACAGATGGCATGAGAATGATGTAAAATTTTATCAAAGGCCCAATAGAATCTAACCATGCAAGCCAACAAAATTTTTTTTTTTTTTTTTTTAGATGAGGCAACCCTTGGTTGACCTCACAGATTGCAAGGACCTTGTCAGCTTACAATCCCTTATTTTTTTACTTTTTACGCCTACAGCACCTGTTCTTCCTAGGTGGTCTCCCATCCAAGTACTAACCAGGCCCGACCCTGCTTAGCTTCTGAGATCAGACGGGATCGGGCTTGTTCAGGGTGGCATGGCCGTAGACAACAAAACATTTTTAAAATCACATTTTTCTGCATTGTCAACCCAAGAATGAGCATCTTGCCCCTTCAGAGATTTCCACCCTAGAATGATCAGTGTGCATAGACTGAATGTGGACTTCTCATTTGAGAGGGGCACAGAACAAGAGCCACTGTAACGTTCTCTTGATTGTGTGTTTCACTCAGTCTTTGAAGCAGAGGCAGTGGTTGCAGTACAGCTGTAGGTATTTCAAGCCTAGAATGTTCATATTCGGATACATGTGTATGAATTTGGAAGGGTTAATGATTTCATCCAGGATTTCCCAGTGTTTCTAGCAAAACACTTCCCTGTAAATGCATAGGCAAATGGATAGTTAGTGAATTTTAGTATATGAAAGGTTCAGAGAAGTTTTGCTTTTTCAGTCTTATTGAACATTATTTGACCCAATGTTTTATAAGCTTATTTGACCACAGAACTATTTCTGTTTCCTCTTAGAACATGTTTTAGGGAACAATTAAGTTTTTTTTCCTCAAAAGGAAGCTGAAATTCAAAGAAGAGACAGTCTTATTCTCAGACCAAATATTTTCACTAGTATAGCACTAGTTTTCCAGGTGATAACAATATTTTGAATTGTAAATAGCACCTTATAATTTATATTTTTTACCAGTTCATGTTTTCTTCAGTCTCAAATCAAAATTGTATTAGGTGGAACCAAACAGATACTAGTTCTGTGAAACACTACTTACCAGCAGATAAGTACTTATCACATTTAGTTATGAATTATTAAGTGGATTAATGTTTCACTTATATATTAAGGCCAACATGAATATTAAAATGTATTACAGTGTTCATCTAATGGTTGTGATATTTGCATTTACAGCCTCAAACTCCGATCTCTTCGAGTTAACGTAGGACAGCTGCTGGCCATGATTGTACCTGACCTTGATCTTCAGCAAGTGAATTATGATGTCGATGTAGTCGATGAGATTTTAGGACAGGTTGTCGAACAAATGAGTGAAATCAGTAGTACTTAAAGTATATTTTATGCAAGATAATAAAAATATTTGCTCACTTCTTTTGGTTGTACAGCTTTCAAAATGTAAACGATTTTGTTTAATAGGTATGATAGGTGACAGCCTGAAGAAACATAATTTTTACTGCATTCTATGCATTCAATTGTGGCCACAAACGTGTGGACACATTATCACACCTTTTGAAACACCTTTGAGTCGTTGGTGTTGGGCAGCTGAATAGCTAACTCATGTTTCTGTTTGAAATGTAAATATTTACAAGTAAGTCTGCAGACATATTTTTTTATTACCCTAGAGGACTTGAGTGTTTTTCACAAAGAGGTGTTCAGGTTGCCCCTAACCTTTGTGCAATCTTTTCTGGTTCCCGAAAGTGTATTTTTATCTGAATTGAGAGCTGTGCCATAATACAAATGGAAATGATACCTTCGATTTTCTTACAGAGAATTTTAAACAGGATATTTTAAAAAATGGGTTAACACTCCTGATAAGTTGTGAGTGAATTCAGCATTAATGTTTCTTTTCTGTAAATTAACTCCTGAAATATTTTATTCATGAAAGTAAGGCAAGCAAAAACTCTAACCATTTTGCCAAGATTTTCTTGTGCTGAGATTGCCAATCATGCTTAAAACAAAGTGATTTTATAGAACAAAGAAATGATCTTTGGTATAAGAAAGTATCCAAAATATTAAATGTCTCACCATGTTTACTTTGAAGCCCATTTTGGCTGCTTAGTCAGCATGGAGTGGGCACAATAATTGTTTAATATTTCTTTTTATGAAATCTCCTGTACAGCCTTTTGTAGGATTACTACAGGTTAATGTGAGTTGAGGAAGACAATCTTTCTCGAACAATACTGCATACCTTTTATTATATTACAAACCTAAGTGTTTTATATCCTGGAGTTAAGCAACAAATTGCCCTAGGATTATAGTATTACATGCTATAAAAGTTATGCTTTATTGATCCCATGTTTTGTGCAATTTTAAAGAGATGGCTTTCTATTAAGTATAACTATGTATATATATAATTAAGAATCATTATTTTCCACAACTAAAATGTGCATTATTTTTTTCAAAGTTTTATCATTGCTATTTATTTTTACTTTCATTTTTGAACATTCAGTACGTGCTCCTTTTTGTATGTATGCTTAATTACATGTCTGTTGTATATAAGATTAAAGTTTTACTGTACATTAAGTTCTAGAAAAAGCAAATAAATGAAGATCGTTTTATTTGCTTGATAAAGTAATTGAAACTGTATTTTTTGGTATGAAGCTGGTTTTCTGTCACAACTATCTATCTGGCCAAAATTTCAAATTTCTTATAATAAAATAAAAACATACGATGGCTAACTCTTCAGATATTACTTTTAAAGAATTCTATACTCGGATTATATTTTGAAAACTAAAATTGTGTCCATCAAGACCCTCAAGTTGAGCTCTTTTTACTATATTAATTACAAGGTATATATAGAAGACTGTTTCTATTAAGACTGCTTTTATCTTGAGAGGCAGTGTGTGCATTTATGCTTATATTTTATACTTGAGAAAATTTTCTGCAAATAAATCATTTAATTTAAAGAAAACTTGCCTCAATGATAGCAGCCATGTAGAGTATGTCTAAATTTGTGAATATTTATGTAGCAATTCTTTCTGGAATTTGCTATTCTTCCCTTCCTTTTGGTCAGATATATTCTTGCAAAAAAAAAAATCTATTTTATATGGCTGTTACCCGACTTAATGGGAAAGTTAATCATAGAGTTAGTAACAAAGCTTTTTTGCTAATTGCTTTTTCAGAAGTACTTACATATTTTTCCCTTTAAATAAAAATATTGCCAAGGTATGATTCTTCGAAAATGTGGCTAAAAAATTTCACAGAAGACCAACATGGGCTTTCATGGTATATATGGTATTTGGGTAGAGATACCTATCTTGATTGTTGTTATTTTAAATTTGTAAAAAGCTAGTGTAAGGTGTCAGTGTTGCTTAAAAACAGCATGGATATTTACAAATGGGACCTGCTTTAGTCAGCTAAGGCTACAAAAATCCCTAAAAGCTAAGTGTTGACACCACAGGAGGGGTTTGTCATGTTGATGTGCCCTTTATTTGGGCCTGAAATTCCTCATGGGTACTAGTACCACTGGTGACTCTGCCCATGGTCTCAGACGCTTGATTCTTGCTCTCACATGGCCCATTAATTAGGTCATTATTTGTCACTGAGAAATCATTAAAGTGATATATACTGGTGGTTCTCACTAGCTGCATATTTGAATTACCTGGGGAGGTTTTTGGAATCACAGTGGAGGATACACCTCCTACTAATTACGCCAGAGTCTTTGGAATCGGACCAGGTATCAGCGTTTTTCAAGGCCTCCCAGTACGCTGGCAGAGCTGAGGGCCGTCGATCTGTGCCTTCCAGCGATGAGCGTTTACAGCATTGAACTCAAGTGGCTCCTGAAACAAACTCAGGATCAGCATGGGCACTTTCTCACTGGGGCGAGCAAGGCAGGAGCGGGGAGAGGAGCAGAATTGGTGCCCACGATAGAAATGTAAGTGGGACAGAATGGAATCAAGTGAAAAGACTGCCCTACCGCCTACCTAAGGGTAACTACTATTGTCTTTTGGATGCCCTTCCAGAAAAGATTAGCTGCATAATACATACACATTCACATATATGCACTCAGTTTATATTAAAGTTTATATCTATATATGATTATATATTTGTATCAAGTTTACACAAAGGTGTTACACCACGTAATCGGTAACAACATTTCTATATTACTCTTGAACAGCTTTAGTCACATTCTATGATAGGAAAGTTCTTAATGCTCATTTATTTCTCAGTCTTTTGCAAAAATATTACAAAAAAGGCTGCTAGGAGAATCAATGTACATCACACATACTTTTTCAGGTATATCCAAGTACAAATCCCTTGCAGTGACTATGGATAGGTCGAAGAGTGTATGCAGGAATTCATATTCATGAAAAATAATAAAATGTATGAGCGTGTTTTTTTCCTTCATCAACTTTGGGTATGTGAAAAAATGGCAGCTTGTATTTGTCTCAGGTTGAACATGTTTTCAGATGTTTTATTGGCCATTTTATTTTCTTTTTCTGTGTATTACATCATATTCTTTGCCTACTCTTTAGGATTCTTTCTCTTATCGCTTGAAAGAAGCAAAAAGCCTGTGTTAATGACGCCTAAACACTACCCAGACCATGTCTGGCTCTCAGAAGATCCATAGCAGGCTTAGTCTTATTTTGCAGTGTCTCATAAACAGGCCCATTGGAGTGTAGTGAGACCCACTAGATTCAGGTCTTTCCATATATTTGTCATTGGCCATGGGTCACAAAAGGAATGCCATTAATATCTGCTTTGTATAGAGGAAAATATATATGTGTTAGCTTGTGTTAGCTTTTTAGAATTAAATGTCACGTTCCCAAAGTTTAGTCCTATAAACTGGCCTGTAGGGAGAAAGTCAAGACCAAAGGGGAGTGTCTTGGTAAATTCAAGCCATTCAAATACAGGTGAAGTTATTAACTGCATCATAGAGAGTGCATTAACTTATAAAATGAGTGTAAATCAAGTTCCTACACAAACATTCTCACAAGAATGAGTCGTGAGTAAATGCAATTTACTATTTCAAACGTGCAAAACAAGTTCAACCTTGAGGTTCCGAGATTCCAAGTAATTTGCAAAGCAGATCTCAATATGGTAACAATATACAGTCCTGGTTTAAATCTGACTCAGCTGTATCTTTGGAACAAAATGTAATTGTGCTTTATATTCACAAAGTACACGAGTCATCAACATACTTGCTAATTCCCATGGGTTTCCTGTCAAATGCTGTTGGAAGTTGCGGGCCTGTGTTTTGAAAGTCGGTACTGTGATCTGAACCAAAGCTGGCTAATTAAATTTTTTTGTGTGGAAAAATATACATAAAATTTACCATTTAACCATCTGTAAGTATGTGATTCAGTAGCATTCAGTATATTAACACTGCTGTGCAATCACCCCTATCCATTTCCAGAATTTCATCCCAAACAAACCACCAAACTCCATCCCCCAAACCCCCAGCTTGTGGGGAGCTCTACGTTCTGTCTCTGAATTTGCTTATCCTAGGTACTTCGTGTAAGTGGAAACAACATATTTGTTCTTTTGTATCTGGCTTATTTTACTCTGCATGATATTTTTAAGATTCATTCATGTTGTATATCTCAGATTTCTTTTTAAGGCTGAATAATATTCCATTGTATGTGCCACATTTTGTTTATTCATTCATCTGTCCGTGGACATCTGGGTTCCACCTTTTTGCTATTAAGAACAATGCTAAGAACATTACCTAGGAGTGGAATTGCTGAATTACATGGTAATTCTGTGTTTAAGTGTTTGAGGAATTGCCAGACTGTCCCCAGAGACTACACCATTTACATATCTACCAGCAGTGCAGGAGTGTTCCAGTCTCTCCTCATCCTCTCCAACATTGATATTGTCTTGTGTTTTGTTTTGTGTTGTTTTGTTTTTTTATAATAGCCATCCTAAAGGGTATGAGGAAGGGGTATTTTCATGTGCTTATTGGCCATTTGTAGATCTTCTTTGGAGAAATATCTATTCAAGACTTTTGCCCATTTTTTAAATGGGTTCATTGAGTTGCAGGAGTTTTTTTTTTTTTTTAAATGTATTCTGGATATTAATCTTTTATCAGAATTTCATGTGCTTATTGGCCATTTGTAGATCTTCTTTGGAGAAATATCTATTCAAGTCTTTTGCCCATTTTTTAAATGGGTTCGTTGAGTTGCAGGAGTTTTGTTTTGTTTTTTTAATGTATTCTGGATATTAATCTTTTATCAGATATGTGATTTGCAGATATTTTCTTCTATTCTGTCGGTGGTTTTTGCATTCTTGATCATGTCCTTTAAGGCATAAGAGTTTTTAATTTTGGTGAAGTCCCATTTTTTCTTTTTTTAATCTGTGCTTTTGGTATCATATTCAACAAATCATTGACTAATTAAGCGTCATGAAGATTTTCCTGTTCTAAGAGTTTATCATTTTAGCTCTTAACATTTAGGTCTCTGATTCATTTTGAGTTAATTTTTGCACATGGCGTAAGATTCCAAATTCCTTCTTTGCATGTGGATATCGTTTCCATAGTACTATTTGTTGAAAAAGTCTTTCTTTTACCTAGTGAATGGTCATCTTGTCCTTGTCAAAAATTGACCATACATATGAGGATTGATTTCTGGGTTCTCTGTTCCATTGGTCTGTATTTCCTTATGCCAGTGCCACTGTTTTGATTACTATTGTTTTCTAGTACATTTTGAAATCAGGAAGTGTGAGTCCTCCAACTTTTTCAAGATCGTTTTGGCTATTCAGGGTCCCTTGAGATTCCATACAAATTTTAGGACAGGTATTTCTATTTCTGCAAAACACGCTGTTGGGATTCTAAGAGGAATCGCATTGAATCTGTAGGTTATTTGGGGCAGCATTGTCATCTTAACAATATTAAGCCCTACCACATAATGGGATATCTTTTATGTCTTCTTTAATTTTAGCGATGTTTTGTAGTTTTCATTGTACAAGTCTTTCACCTCCTTGGTGGTTTATTCCTAAGTGTTTTATTCTTTTTGATGTTGTTGTAAATGAAATTGTCTTATCAGAGAATTTACTTTCTGAATGTTCATTGTTAGTGTTTAGAAATGCAACTTATTTTTGTGTGATTTTGTGTCCCACAAGTCTGCTGAATTCCTTTAATAGCTCTAACAGTTGTTTTTTTTTTTGGTGTGAAATCTTTAGGGTTTTGTACGTAAAAGATGATGTCATCTGCAAAGAGATAATTTGATTTCTTCCTTTCCAGTTTAGATGTCTTTCATTTCTTTTTCTTGCTTAATTGCTCTAGCTAGAACTGCCAATACAGTGTTGAATAGAAGCAGTGAAGTTGGGTATCATCTTTGTTCCTAATCCTAGGGGAAAAGCTTTCAGTCGTTCACCGCCAAGTATGATGTTAGCTGTGGATTTTTCATATACCACCTTTATCATATTAAGGAAGTTTCCTTCTACTCCTAGTTTACTATTGTTTTTCTTTTTTAATCATGAAAGTGTGTTGAATTTTGTTAAATGCTTTTTCTGCATCAAATGAGATGATTGAGTTTTTTTCCCTCCTTCATGTCACTAATGTGAATTACATTGATTGCTCTTTATGTTTTGAGTCATTCTTGCATTCCAGGATTAAATCTATCTTGGTCATGGTGTTTAATGCTTTTAATATGTTGCTGAATTTGGTTTGCTAGTATTTTGTTGAAGTTTTTTGCATCAGTATTCATAATGTTGCTATGTATTTTTGTTTTCTTGTAGT